GTGCAAATATTATGATGGTGGTATAAGCAGTTCAGCCATGGAGATTTTGGTATTTGTGGGGTACCAGTGATTATTGTATTAGTTATAGTAAAGAGGCAGGGGCCAGGGGTACCTGGTGCGGTAGCCTGGAAGCTAAAGTCCTCATTTTGAATGCACCTGGATCCCATATGGGTACCAGTTCTAATCCCAGGGGCTCCACTTCACATCCATCTCCCTCTTGCAGGCTGGGAAAACGGTTGAGTACAGCCCCAAAACCTTCAAAGCCTGCACCCACATGGGAGACCGGGAAGAGGCTCCTGGCTTCAATAGGTACAGTTCCGGTCATTGCGGGAGTGAATAATTGGACCGGAGATCTTCCTGTCTCTCCTCCTTTGTGTATCTAACTTCTCAATAAAAATAAAATAAATCTTTAATGGGCCCGGCAGTGTGGCCTAGTGGCTAAAGTCCTCACTTTGAATGCGCCAGGATCCCATATGGCTGCTGGTTCTAATCCCTGCAGCTCCACTTCCCATCCAGCTCCCTGCTTGTGGCCTGGGAAAGCAGTCGAAGATGGTCCCAATGCCTTAGGACCCTGCACCTGTGTGGGAGACACAGAGGAAGCTCCTGGCTCCTGTCTTCGGACTGGCGCAGCACCGGCCATTGCAGTCATTTGGGGAGTGAATCATTGGATGGAAGATCTTCCTCTCTGTCTATCTGACTTTGCAATAAAAATAAACCAAATCTTAAAAAAAATCAAGATTTTCTCATCCTTGGATTGGTGAGATTGACAGCATTTCAGAACTATAGAAACACCTGAGCAGAATCCTTGGTGCATGCTCCACATCAGGGATGCTGGGGTAACATCGAGTGCCCATTCCCCATCCCTGGGTACTGAGGCAGCTGGGAGGCTGGCTGTGCATCTTCTCCACCTATCTTTCCTTTTCTCCCTGGTACAGGAAGAAGAAAAAGAAAATTTGCAAACAATGGTCTTACCCATTTTCCCCTAATCCTTTACCCTTCTCACCCTAATCGACTATGTAAAAGTCATCACAAATAAAAAATTTTAAAGTGTGTGAAAAGCTTTCAACGTTTCTATCAGAAATCACTAGATGGTATCTATTTTGTAGGGTTGTTTATTCAGTCATGCAATTATGTACATTTTAAAATCAATTTAAACTACTATTTGTACTTTCACCTCAGTAATTCTAAGCAGCATTCCAAGTTATTATTATGCTTTGAGAATAGTTCCAAATTTATAATTCTAAATGCAAAGGAACTTGCAAAGCAAATACAGGTCAAATACAGAAAAACTGTTTTTCTACTTTATATATAGAATGGAAATTTCCTGAATACTTATTTTCTTTTTGTTAAAAAGCAGACAAAAATTTTTCTACCCGGTGTGCTTCCCAAATGCTTGCAATAGTCAGGAAGCAGCCAGCAGCTGTGAGTGGCAGGGATAGCAAGGATCGGAACCATCGCCTGCTGCCTTCTTGGGTGCCAACAGCAGAAAGCCAAATCAGGAGCTGGAGTCAGAACCTGAACTCATGTACACCAGGAGGGAATAATGGCAGCTTAACTACTGTGCCGAATACCCATTCCAGATGTCACTGCAGTGATTTTCATGTTCCCTGATGATTGTCTGTATGACTTAGAAGGAAACATTAGGAGAAAAACAAAATTAATGAAAATTATGTTTCATTCATAATTATTTCATTATGAATGGAAATTATCACCACATCCTGCCTTAATACTAAACTCAGATTTCTGTGCTCCCTGAAAGAAACAGCCGTTCTTCACCCTTCCCCGGTGAGCTACCCTAACATGGCTGGAATGTCTCCCTGGCAGTGTGCCCTCCTGGACAGCGTTGCTCCTCCCACCTACCTGCTCCCTTCCTTATGCCTCACTGAGGTCTTTTACACTTACGGCAAGGTTGCAGCTCAGGTTTTTGTTTTTTTTAAGATTATTTACCTTTACTTGAAAGGCAAACTTATACAGAGAAGGAGATCTTCTGTCTGCTGTTTCACTCCTCAAATGGCCACAACAGCCAGAGCTGAGCTGATCCAATGCCAGGAGCCAGGAGCTTCTTCAGGTATCTCATGTAGATCCAGGGTCCCAAGGCTTTGGGCCATCTTCCACTGCTTTCCCAGGTCACAAGCAGGCAGCTGGATGGGAAGTGGGGCTGCCGAGATTAGAACCAGCACCTATATGGGATCCCGGCACATGCAAGGCAAGGATTTAGCCACTAGGCTACTGCACTGGGTCCCAGCTAACAACTTTTTTATGAGTATGTACTAAGACATCACAAATAACCCTACATACCCAGCAGGCTTTGAAGCAAACACTGTTGGGTAGCTTCACCCAGCACATTCATTTCTCTTAAGTCTTAGAGGTACACAGTGCAAGTAAAGCATCCAACTTTGATTTAACTCCAACCTCTGGGGAAAAAAAATCAAGAAAAAGGAGGGGGCAATATTCCAAGGATACTGAATCTTTTAAACTTTTTCTTTGAAAGGCAGACAAAGGTCACTCTGACTGTGCTGCAAATCCCCCTGCAGTATGTGAGGGTCAAGCGTGTGTTGTACAGGCCTGGGCTAGGCCACAGCACCCATTGGTTTGCTGAGGAGGGAAGGCAGAACAAACTGATCAACTACCACAGCGAAACTTGGCAGCAAATTTCTGGGCCAATGGAAACTCAGAGGCAGCCTATGACGGCCAATCAACCTCAGAAAGATTTCCTCAACCGTAGAATGGTGATACCAACAGTATCTCAAAACTTCTGAAAACACATGAACAAAACCTCCAGAAAATGCTTCATAATGGGGAACTTGGGACAACATCAGGTAGTAGTTTCCAATCCCTGGGGAAATGCAGCGATTGGGAAGCTGGGCATGGTTATTCCTCTTGTATCCCTCCATCTCCACATATACGGGAAGAAGAAAAAAAGGTGTAAACAGGACCCAGTGCAGTAGCCTAGTGGCTAAAGTCCTCATCTTGAATGCGCTGGGATCCCATGTGGGTGCTGGTTCTAATCACAGTAGCCCCATATTTCCCAGCCAGCTCCCTGCTTGTGACCTGGGATAGCAGTAAAGGATGGCCCAAAACCTTGGGACCCTGCACCAGCGAGGGAGACCTAGAAGCTCCTGGCTCCAGGCTTCGGATTGGCTCACTTTTTCCATTGTGGCTGCTTGGGGAGTGAATCATCGGACAGAAGATCTTTCTCTTTGTCTCTCCTCCTCTCTGTATGTATAACTTTCCAATTAAAAATAAATACATCTTTATAAAAAAAAAGAAAGAAAATGTGTAAACAAGGGTCTCACCTACTACCCCTAATCAACTATGCAATTCACCCTAATCACCTATGTAAACATCACCACTAATAAAGTTCTAAAAGGTAGAGAAGATAGTCCATTTGTTAGTTCACACCTCCAAATGGCTGCAACACTTGGGACAAGCCAGGAGCTGCCTTGGGGCTTTTCCATATGGGTGACAGAAGCTCAAGGGGTTGGGCCACAATCTGCTGCCCTCCAGGCACATTAGCAGGAGCTAGGTCAGAAGTGCAGCAACCATGATGTCAACCTGCACTCCACTATGGGATGCAGGAACAGCACAAGGTGACTCACCTGCTGTGGCACAACACCCACTCCACTTCCAGGCTACTATTGGCCTCTCCTCTTCCTCCTGATCAGGAAATAAGATCTATCAACCTGACTTACTCATGGAGACAAAACTGGCAGAAGCTGATCACACACTTGTCCAAGAGACGTGGTCACTGACGTTACAAAGGTTGAACCACAAGCGCACCTATTAGTTTTAGGAGCACTTCCAGTCTACAGTATCTGAAAAACAAGAGTCTTTTAACCTTTACTTTAACCACTCAATATAATGTGTACCATATTTTATGACTCCACACCGAGTTAAAAAAGACAAAAGAATTGCCTCAGAGAACACCCACAATAGGACTATGAATTAATCTTTTTTTTAAAAAGATTTATTTTATTTTATTACAAAGTCATATATAGAGAGAGGAGAGACAGAGAGGAAGATCTTCCGTCTGATAATTCACTCCCCAAGTGAGCCGCAATGGCCAGTGCTGTGCCGATCCGAAGCCAGAAGCCTGGAGCCTGGAGCTTCTTCCAGGTCTCCCACATGGGTGCAAAATTCCAAAGCATTGTGCTGTCCTCAACTGCTTTCCCAGGCCACAGGCAGGCAGCTGGATGGGAAGTGGAGCTGCCGGGATTAGAACTAGCGCCCATATGGAATCCCAGTGCGTTCAAGGCGAGGACTTTAGCTGCTAGGCCACGCTGCCGGGCTCTAATCTTTATTTTTTTTAAAGACCTTTAAAAGCCAGACATATGAATTGACATGAACCAGCATCAAATGAGAGAAGCAAGGACTTTGTGAATATTCTGGCTGTCTTTATTTCATTTTATTTTTTTTAAACATTAAAATACACTTTAAGGAATGATGTGGTAATTGAAGCCCTAGCTCTTAGGGTATCTAAACAGGGCTGGAGAAAACTGGGGTCCCTAAAGGATGTTGAAGGAAGTCACTCTGCCAGGCCTGGCATGCCTCTGCATTTCCACAGTTGTAAGAACTAAACTCCTAACTGGTTCAAACCACTATGGATTTGGCTTTGAACTCCACCCAAACAAGATCAGATATATATTACATTTGGGGACCAAATGGATCTACCATTAATAAAAGGCTGTTAAGACTGTAAAAATGCCACTTGCGTGTCAATACAATAAGGATGGAAGTCACATTTTAAAAATATGCTTATTTTAAAGCTAATGATAAAATTCTGAGGGATGTTTATGTAATATAACTAAAAGGGTTAATGTAAAGAACTTGATTTTCACATTTACATTTCAAAAGTAAACCTGAATTCAAACCAATCCTTTTAAAGAGAAGGGTTTAGTTTCAATGATTTGCATAAGGTAGAGAATGCAGGCCACACTTTATATTTTATAAATATAAGCTATTATAAATACAAAATGAAAAAAAAAAGGCTGATATATTAGCTATTATGAAGGATGAAAACATTGTATAAATGTTTACATACTATATGCATCCGCATCAGTGTGATCTGACAGTTCTCTACCAGTTTCATTTACAGACAGAAACTCTAAACAGATCATCATTCATGTTCATGCTCCCACGTGGGAAGTGGTAGGTGAATATCTGTAGGAATACAATTTATTGTCTGCTCCACCACTCAGAAGTAGCTGTATAAGAGAAAAAAAATACAAAAATATAAATAAACAAGATACATAATAGCTAAACCTACTTAAACATGACAATTTTGGTTATAAAAGGAATTATGGACAGGCAGGTAAAAGTTAAAAAACCAGTACTTAAATAGATTGATTATATAGCTATATTTTCTATGACGCATTTACTGAGATACATAATGAAAGTTTGAAAGACAGTTTTATTTAAGAAAATTAAGTTTCTAAAGAGATTGTATAATAATTGTATTTTACAAATTATTCATGCAGCCCTTCAACATGCTTTTGGAAAGAATTCTTAGGGAATGAGAGCTTAGATGTATATGTAAAAATAAATTTTAATGTTTTAAATACCTATTATAATCTACAATTCTTATGTAATGATTTTCTATTTAGGAAATACTTCATTCAATTAGTCTACAGCAAGCAGTTCATGGAATCAAAATGCTTCATAAAAATCCTGAGGAAAAAAATTGACTCAAAATTTCTAATTTTATTGCTCCTGATGCTAAAGGAAAAACGTATGTCTTTCCTGAATAAAATATGAGACCTTATGAATAACATCAAAGAAAATAGAACGCAGAATTATAAAAACCAAATATATTGAAATTAATCTTATAAAGACAGTCTAATGCATTTTCTCCCAAATAATAAAAAATTCTTACTCCTGTGTCTGTCCAGTCAACACTCAACACTTTGTCTTCATGAGCAGCCAGGTCATAAAGAGAAGCCTTACAACTGAAAGATGGAAACAACAGCTTGTCAACATGCATTCACAGCTCTGTAAAATGCATCTACAAATAACCATGCTTCTGTAACATCCTGGCCCCAGTACCCAATTAGTACTGAGATTCTGCATTTACTTGTCTACCTCCTGTTTTCCTGTAACATGAACATACTGTATAGATTTACTGTAACAAATATATCCAAGAAAAATGTTACTGAGTCATAAAAGTTTATTTTATAACCAAACCTATTCTCACAAGTCTCATGACTATCTTATTTTACCCCAAGGTCATGGGGGTAAACCTCTGTATTAGTAATTTGTAAATTTCTTTTACAGAAGGAAGGAGAGACAGAAAGATCTTCCTGAAACGGTTCACTCCCCAGGTGCCCGCAACAGCCAGAACTGAAGTGAACTGAAGCCAGCTCTTCCCAGATCTCCCATGCAGTTGCCAGGTCTCCATATGAGCCCCTGGGGTTTGTAGGCAGAGTATTATCAAATTGAGCCATATGCTGGTCCTGGCAAGCTTTTAACATCAGCCTAAACTTCCCTGAGCATGGCAAGTGGGACCACAAAAAGTGACTGGAAATTTGAATTAAAAGACAATGAATTTCTCATAAATACTTGAAGCCTCGCCTTGTATGCTTATCTGCAATTGCCAAAGAGCTGATATCATATGGCCACCTAAAATTTAAAACAATCAAAATAAAACTCTTCATCTTTCCCTCACAAACCTCAATTACCCCTCAATTACAGTAAATGGCACTACCAATCACCCGATTTTTAAATTTTTTTTTAAGAGTTACTTATTTTTATTGGAAAGTCAGATCCACAGAGAAAAGGAGAGACAGAAAGATCCTCCACCCACTGGTTGACTCCTCAAATGGTCACAAATGCTGGACCCAAGCCAATCTGAAGCCAGGAGCTTTTTCCACATCTTCCATGTAGGTGCAGGGTCCCAAGCCTTTACGGTCATCCTCAGCTGCCCCCTGGGCCACCAGCAGGAAACTGGATGGGAAGTGGAGCAGCGAGGACACAAAGTGGCACCTGTACGGGATCCCAGTGCTTACAAGGTGAGACTTTAACCACATCGTGCTGGGCCCCTAATTCATTTCTTTACTATCATTTTCAAAAAGGGACTTTCCTCAAAGAAGTATCCCTTAGCCATGCTTTACTTTCTTCATAACTAGTACTACTGTAATGGCAAAATATGTTAATTGCTATAGAAAATGTACAATTGAGGGCCCGGCGCGGTGGCGCAAGTGGTTAAGGTCCTCGCCTTGCACGCCCGGGATCTCATATGGGTGCTGGTTCTATCCTGGCAGCCCCGCTTCCCTTCCAGCTCCCTGCCTGTGGCCCGGGAAAGCAGTCGAGGACAGCCCAAAGCTTTGGGACCCTGCACCCGTGTGGGAGACCCAGAAGTCTCCTGGCTTCGGATTGGCATAGCATTGGCCGTTGCGCTCACTTGGGGAGTAAATCATCGGATGGAAGATCTTCCTCTCTGTCTCTCCTCTCTGTATATCCGCCTTTCCAATAAAAAAATAATAAAAATAAATCTTTAAAAAAGAAAATGTACAACTGAAATGCACATATTGAGACAGGTTTTTGATTTAGCAGCTAAGATGCCTGCATCCTGTGCTGCAGGACCCAGGTTTGCTGCTTAGTGTGTAACTCCAGCTTCCAGTTCATGTCGACCATGGGAGGCAGTGGTGATAACACAAGTGACTGGGCCTGCAGCTATATGGGAGATGTGGACTGAACTCCCTGCTCTCAGCTTCCATCCAGTAGGGACCTACAAGCTGCAATGGGTGGAAGCTCCCACATGCTCATTCTCCTCTCAAATTAATAAGTCGGTAGTATAAGGATGCTGGAAAACAAATTTAAGCTGAACATTACATAAATAAGAATGTGTTTAGTGCATTCCTATTTTATGCATATATGTAAATTTATGTACATTTTATTAGAGTATAACATACATGTTATTCAAGCACTAGCCAGTAAGAAAGTCACCTTTATCTTTAAAAATATGGATGTTGATTTAATTTTCTATTTATATATTACAAGATTTGTTTTGTCTTTAGGAACATTACTTATATTTGAGTGCGAGACAGAAATAGAAGAAAGCTCCCATTTGCTGGTTCACTGAGGCTGGTCCAAGGTCCAAAGCCAACAGCCAAGAACTCAATCCAGCTCCCACAAGGTAGCAGACATGAAACTACTTAAACCATCACTGCAGCTCCCCAGGGTTGGCAGCAGTAAGTTGAAGCTGGGAACTGGAGACAGGTATCAAACCCAAGCAGTCTAATATGGGACGTAGGCATTCTGACCAAGTTCTTAGCCACCACCCTACACTCACTACCAGAAGAATTTTCTGAATTCTATTTCTTCTGATGTTTTATAACAAAGTTGCAAAGATGAAATGAATAAACTTGTACATTGTTTTTGAGTTAAAGTAACGTTATGGGAAAAATCAGTGTTGGGGGGTAGGTGTGGGTTGGGAGGAGGGGGATCCCAGACTATACAGAAATGGTATGATAAAATTCAAAATTGAAAATAATAATAAAAAAGATAAAGTAACATAAAACTAGATCAAGAATGCACAAAATAACATATAAACATGCATAAAAAATTCCTTTGATCATGGCTTTTCTTTTCGATACTGGTATTTATTCCATCAGGTAGTATAGCCAAAGCATGCTTTTTACTTTTCTGACTTTATGTAAGAGCAAGTGGTAACCTTTTCTTACTGATCATAAGTAGGATTTACCTTCTTATATCCCATAGCTTGACCATATTGTCTAAAGAACCGGAAATCAGCTGCTGCTCATGAGTGGGAGACCACTTTACTGATGTGACCCATCCAGTATGTGAAGTTAGGGACAGTGACACCAAAGCACCATCTGAACAAAAACAACAACAAAATAACAACCATTGAATTTTTAGAAAAATAAGCAGAACCTCCCTCCAAATTTGTAGAAATGTATTTTACACATCTCTGGTGAGAAGAAAGATTCCCATTCTTAACACCTGCCTTTCTCCAGTAGTTTCTATGACTCACCTTTAGTTCGGGGATCCCACAGTCTTATATGCCTATCTGTGCTTCCAGAAGCTAAACGTTTACAAAGTGGAGAATAGGAAATACAATTAAATACTTTATTTCCTGTCTGAAAAAGAAAAAGCAAACACATTTAATCATTGTGGGCTAAAAGTAAACACCTCAGAAGTTTACCATTTAAAAAGCCAAAGTTAGTCACAGGACAACTGAATTTGTAAGTCTTACCAAAGTTGACTTAAGACTGCCAGACTCAACATCCCATACTCTAATTGTATGATCCCAAGAAGCACTGCAGATTTCTTCAGTATCTGACCACAGAACTGAGGATATTGCTTCTTTGTGGCCGGACAGAGTCACAATGGGAGTCTAGAAACAAACAAAAAGATCCCCGAAGGAAGATGCATATTTATTTCAGAGTAACTTAAACAGTTTATCAGTAGCTACTATTTTTGAAACCCATATGCCAGATATTTTGCGAAGTGTTTAAAACTTTCATATTCTCCTTATTTTTTCCTTAAACAATCCTCCAAACTTGTTTTTATTTTTATTTTATTCATGTAGACATTTAAAATCACAAAGAACAAGAATCATTTGTTCAAGGTCATAAAGCAGTAAAATCAAGACTGAACCCAAAAGTTACAAATAACAAATGACAAAAGAAAAATCTTGCCTAAGCTGGTTCACTCTCCAAATGGCCACAAAGGCTAGGGCTGGACCAGGCCAAAGCAGCAGCTTCATCTAAGTCTCCCACATGTATGGCAGGTACTCAAATACTGGGGCCATCTTCTGTTTTTCCCGGGCATACAAACAGGGAGCTGGATCACAAGTGGAGCAGCTGAGACGTGGGATACTGGTGTAGCAGGTGGCATATTCACCTTTACACCACAATACCAGCCCCAAACTCTTTCTACCTTTTTGCTGCTTCATCATTTGTTCTACCTTCCATTGTAGGCACTATTATTATTAACAATTCCACCAGCTGACACATATTTGATGCTAGAATGGTCCCAGACGACCTTTAATTGACCCAGTCTCTCCCCTCCCTTCTTTTTTAAAATATTTAGTTTTTGTTCTGCCTTTCACACAAATAAAGAAAAGTTTAAACAAAAAAACAACCTGGATGAAAAGTAGAACATCAGAACAGTGGAGGCCAGGAGGTGAGGTGAGGTGTGATAGAAATGCTGGTTAGAACATACAAACAGTTATAAGATGAACAAATTCTGGGGATCTGATACAGCATATATATAGTATATAGCGATGATGAATGTTAAGTGAACGCTCAGTGATTATATTAACCACTACACAACACATAAACTTAACTGTTACATACCCTTACTATATTCAATCTACTGCCTTCCCAGACCATTAACAAGAAGCTGCTGGAATTTTAACAGCTGGAGCTTGAATCAGCACATACATTAGATGCCAGCCTCACAGATGGCAGCCTGACTTACTATGCCACAAAACTAGCTCCAGTTACCTTTTAACAAATACATATGGATGAACTATCTTTATGGACCTCACAGATAAATTATAAAGTCAACTGTTGGTTTCTAGTAGGTTAAGGAAATATAACTAGAATCCCTCATAATCTGTTCTAAGTGAATGAAACATACACTATTTTTTAAAGATTGATTTATTTTTATTGCAAAGTCAGACATATAGAAGGGAGGAGAGACAGAGGAAGATCTTCCATCCAATGAGTCACTCCCCAAGTGACAACAATGACTGGTGCTGCGCCAATCCAAAGCCAGGAGACTCTTCCGGGTCTCCCACGCGGGTGCAGGGTCCCAAAGCTTTGGGCCGTCCTCGACTGCTTTCCCAGGCCACAAGCAGGGAGCTGGATGGGAAGTGGGGCTGCCGGGATTAGAACTAGCGCCCATATGGGATTTTGGCACGTTCAAGGCGAGGACTTAGCCGATAGGCCATCACACTGGGCCCGAAACATATACTATTAAACAAGTAATTGGATATTTCACTTAACTGTAGTGTAAACTAATGTTAAAAGATATAATATCCTACTCCAGAATCCAATCTTAATTTATCACCCTACAAATCTGCAAACTTGCCTCAATGCTAGAACATATGAAGATTAAGATAAATGAACCATTAATTCAGTACTTAATAATAGAAATGTACAAATCAAAGGAAAGAAAACAGAATCATGGTTGAAGAAAGGTAACACAAAAGGGAAGATAGAGCAAGAAAGCCTTTAGTTATCAATGTCAACCTAGGCCAAGTGACATCAGTTCTCACAGATACTTACCCTTGTTAATCCCAACTGCTCTGTTTTTTGCTTTTTCCTTGGTCGATTTGTAGATTCTTCCACTTCGTCTTCTTCATCTGTAGGGACTGTATCACAGAGATTTAGATTGGTATTTTAGAAGCCCTGTAAATATTAATTGCAAAAAACCTGAAACAATTCTTTATATTTCTGGATATACGGTTTCTCCCTGTGATCTCAACTAATTAGGGAATGGATATTCCTAACAGCTCTGATGAATAGAAAGTTGTATTATATAAGACAAATAATTGAACTACCAAGTTTCAAAAAATGAGAGAGCACAAATAAAGTACATTAAAAAACTAAAACCTGGTGGGTTAGGCACGTGGAGTGGAACTCCGCTTCATCAGTCCATCAACATGTATGAGAGCTGAATGGGATGTGGGACAGACGGGGCCGTCTTCTGTACATAGTGGCAAGCAAGAGAACCAGGGCAGGAGTGGGTCTGGTGGGGGTTTCGTGGGTCACTCCGACTAGACTGCAGCTCCCGCTGATATATGTGAAGGCCAAGTATGGGGTGGGAAGGATTGGGCTGGACTCCAGCACCCACTGGGTTGTGTAAAACACAGGGCTGGAGACAGAACTGACCCAGCAATTGCAACTACCAGTGTGTGTAGGCTGATTTGAGTGACAGACTGTGCTAGACCCTGTACTAGCAAACACACACAACAATCAGATCTGGGATGGCCTCAGATGAGGTTTCTTGGGCGATTCCCTACCAACTGAATTGCTGGACTCAGAACCCTAACCATGGAGAGAAATGCAGATTCCAGGGGCTGACTGTGGGAATGGATATGTGAGAGCTGAGCCTCATTGATGGCTTAGAAGGAGCAGTGGACAGCATACCCAAATATACATGGAGGATATGGCAGTACATTTGAGTCTCCAGAGGACATGGGGTACCATGGTAGAGGACAGAGGACAGAACCAATTAATCAACTACCCCAGCTAAGCATTGGCAGTGAAGATCTGGGCAGATGGAGACACTAAGGTGGACTACAGCAGCCAGTGGACTCAGGAGAGTTCATCGTGATCGGAGTGGCAGGATCACCAGCAATTCAGGACTATTGAACTTTCAAAACCTCTTGAGAAATCATGGCAATGTAAATTTCTATTTTTCTTCCCGTTGTTGATATTGTATTGTGGCTTTTCATTTAAGAGGGATATGTGGTGATTGTGTAATAGAGACTACCACGTCCAGATGTGAGGATGCAGTGCAGTGTGCATCTCTACTTCCAGATCAAAGATGGACTACAAATGAAACTATTAGCTGTATTTTGGCAACAGGAAGCTGGATTCTCTGCCACTGTCCATGCCTGCAATGATGACATGTGGCTATTTATGAAGAGCTATGCTATAGTAATAATATAGGGGAATTCAGTTGTGGGGGAAGGGGATTGGGAGAGGGGATAGGAGAAATTCCAGGGCCTATGGAACTGTATCATAGAATGATAATGATAATAATTTAAGAAGTTAAATTAAAATTTTAAAATTAATTAATTAATTAAAAAAATCTAAAAAACAAAACTAAAACCCAGGAACCCAGGATTGGTATTGCGGTATAGCAAGTTAAACTGCCTGTGATGCCAGCATCTCATATGGATATTGGTTCAAGTAACTGCTACTCCACTTCTGATCCAGCTCCCTGCTAACACATCTGGAAAAGCAGCGGAAGATGTCCCAAGTGCTTGGGCTTCTACATCCACACGGGAGACCCAGAATAAGCTCATGATTCCTGTTGCGGTCATTTGATAAGTAAACCAGTGAGTAGAAGAATGCCTCACTCTCTCCTTCCTCTCTGTAATGCCACCTTTCAAACAAGCAATCAAATCTTTTAAAGAAAAAAAAAAAGCTAATTTGAAATCTTGCTGTTTTTATTACTATGAATATTCATAAATATTTCACCATGAAAACTGTTTACTGTTAGGAGAGTTATGACCCAACTGCATTTATATTATGAAAGTATGATAAACACATCCTAAAGGAGATACATGGGCCTGGCACAGTATCCTAGTGGCTAAAATCCTTGCCTTGCATCTGCCAGGATCCCATATGGGTGCCTGATCGTGTCCCAGCTGCTCTACTTCCTATCCAGCTCCCTGCCTGTGCCCTGGGAAAGCAGTTGAGGACCATCCAAAGCCTTGGGACCCTGCATTCACGTGGGAGACCTGGAGGAAGCTTCTGATTGGCTCAGTACCAGCCATTGCAGCCACTTGGAGAGTGAACTAGCAGAAGAAAGATCTTTCTGTTTCTCCTTCTCTCTATACATCTGACTTTCCAATAAAAATAAATAAATCTCAAAAAAAAAAGTTACACATTTTAGCCATGTTTATCCTTCTTGACTTTTCCACTTTTCTAATAAAGAAGTAAGTCATACTAAGTCATACTTATTTTGGCTAGGTTGCATTTTCATATTCAAAACTGCAGAGTTTAACATTTTATGACTATAATGAATATTAATCTGCTTTCCATACTAGATTATATCTCTAGGTTATATCTCATTTACTCAGTATGATAAAAAAAATGACCATACGAAATGAAATATTTCTAAACCACTTTTAACTCCAAATCATCTGCTTTAATCATCCTGTAAACTCTATTAATAAACAGATTATATATTTCCAGAAATGCATCACTGAGTAAAACCGGCTAAGCCTGGGTCTACCTCCAGTCTATCCTGTGATTCCCTGGGGCATTATCATGTATTCTAAGGGTTTGCTCAACATTAACAGAGCTGTGCTGTTCTCTTCACCGTGCAGGAAAGGTTCCCAATACTAGGTTTTAAAGCTGACTTAAGTGAGTATGTTTTCCCTCTTTTTTTCCCCTATCTGTCTAGTTTCTACAATCACATCTTAAAGTTCTTCCTACTCTTCCTGCTCCATTTACCATTCCTTTAAATCTATTTTCAAAGTAAGATTATGAATTGAGCCAAAACTACATTTTTTCTATGTAATCCAATTTAAATAAATTCCTTTAACATTAAAAGAACTCAAAAGTAAATTTTAAATATGACTTTAAAAATATGAATCAGAATGACTCAAAGGTTTCACCCACCTCCTTTTTATTTTGAGGTTCCTGAATATGGAAACTCAGAATTTATATGAATTTGGTCCCACTGCATCAAACATGTTGTTGATACTGACAGCAGTTCAGTGGCACTATACATTAATGGAACAGTACAGCAGGACAAAGAAGTACATTCATTTATCACTATACTGTGCTTTTTTATGTGTATCCTAAAACACTCGGGGTCAATTTTTTTAAATGAAAGACAAAACAAAACAAGACAAAAAACCCAAAAAAACTATTTACTTATTTGAAAGTCAGAGCTGCAGAAGAGATACACAAAGAGAGATTGATCTTCTGTTCTCTAGTTCACATGGCTGCAACCACCAGGCTATTAGCAGGGTGCTGGATCCACAAAAGATCAGCCAGGACAAGAACTGGTACCCATATGGAATGATGGCATCCACAGGTGGAAGCTTTAGCCACTTTGCCACAACATCTGTTTTTACTGTAAAATGTATTTTTTTTTTAAAAAAACTTTCATTTAAACACTTTCCTAAAACTGTTCACCCAAACTGTTGACATATGTCTTGTTAGAGTTTTAGAGTTATAGAGTTAAGACTATCCGAACAACAGCCAGGTTCTGCAAAATCATGCTTCAACGCTATAAACTGCTAAATACTAAAATTAAAATAGACATGAGACAGCTGAATAGTAATCTATAGCCATTTTAAGGTGTATAGAACCCAGTGGTATATAAACCAATAATTGTAATGTCAATGTAGAAGTCACAGGATGTGGTTCAGAACTTGCACTTTTTTTTCTCTCTCTCTCTCTTTTAACATGCTGGTTACACAATACCATGTCAACTAATTCCATTACGTTATAAATAGTTACTGATGTAATGTTGGGGCTTTTAATTGATTGGGATGATACTCTGTCGGCTCTACCTTCAGAGACGGTCTCCCCAAAAAACCGTTGAACTTATCTGGACAACAGATGCTGGACTCTATGCTTTGTGGATGCTTGCAAGGAAAGGATCGCAACTGAATTTGAACTGTGGTAATGCAACAAGGTGGAGGAATCCACCATGGGGGCGGGGAGGGTTTTGGGGAGGGGAGGGAGGAATCCCAGTGCCTATAAAACTGTGTCACATAATGCAATGTAATCAACAAAAAAAAAATCAAAAAACAATTTCATTTTTCATTGAAAAATCTTTAAATAAGTCAAAGTAAAGAGCGTATTTACCTGTTGACCAGATCTTTAGCATCTTATCCCAAGAGCCACTGCAAAACTAAACAGATACATATGAAGGGAAAAGGCATACAGAATGTAACATCACATCTCATTTTTTTCTACTTAAAAAAATCTTTACTAAGTTTGCTTAATCTCTGTAGTGCATAGGCTCTGCAAGCCTTCACTACTGAGGCATCATCACCTGCCTCGCTTCCTCATCTCCTGGAAGTTGTACACTCAGTCTGCATGGCAATCAAGAGGGCTGCCATTCGTGTGGCTCTGTGCCCAGGCCAGAGTTACAGGAAGGACAAATTACCTACACTGCACGAGTAGGTCTCTTTCTCATTCAAAACGTTTTTAAAGAAATTTTTAATTCATTTGAGACAGAGAGACATTGAGCACTCTCATCATCAGGTTCACTTTCACAATATCTATAATGACCAACGCTGAAACTTGGAGCAAAGAACAGGATCCAGGTCCTCCAACACCAGTGGGAGGAACCCAATTACCTGAGCCATCTCCACTACCTGAAGTCAGGAGCTAGAGCCAAGTAGAAACTCAAGTCAAGGCAACCTGACCAATGTCATAACTGCCCCTTCCGAGCTCTAAAAACCAGAAAGTTGAAATTAGTCTTTTTCTATGTATACTTTAGGCTGTAAAATCTGAGTAACATTAAAGGCCAAGTTTATGGCCATGAGGGAAAAGCCAGCATGGAGCAAGAGTAAGGGCAACCTGTGGTACCAAAGAGTAAACTGCGCAGGCCACTTTGGAGGCTCTACCCATTGGTTTCTTTTTTTTTTTTTTAAAGATTTATTTTATTTTTTTACTACAAAGTCAGATATATATAGAGGAGGAGGGACAGAGGGGAAGATCCTCCATCCAATGATTCACTCCCCAAGTGAGTGCAACGGCCAGTGCTGTGCCGATCTGAAGCCAGGACCCAGGAACTTCTTCCAGGTTTCCCACACAGGTGCAGGGTCCCAAGGCTTTGGGCTGTCCTTGACTGCTTTCCCAGGCCACAAGCAGGGAGCTGGATGGGAAGTGGAGCTGCCGGGATTAGAACCGGCGCCCATATGGGATCCTGGGGTGTTCAAGGCAAGGACTTCAGCTGCTAGGCCACCAGACCCTACCCATTGGTTTCTGAGACCCAACTACATCATCATCCCCCTACTGTGATTTGGCCATACGTGTCTTGCTTGGACCTCACAATCCAATAAATTTTCTTTTAAGCCTAAGCAAGTTCACAGTGAATTTCTTTTGAGCTTTACAGACAAAGAACAGGGTTCTAGCTTGAAACGTGAACCTTTTGGGCTCAGAATGAAAAATCAGAAATCTTATTTTTGAATGCATCAACTATCCTATTTCCTTTAACAGCAAAGAAATACTGAAGAAACATTCTCAAGGACAGAATGCTTCAACACTGATTAGGGAACTTCCAAAATGTTAAGTGGGCTTGTGAGCCCTCCTAAGTCACGAAACTATTGCCCTCAAGGCTTTGTTTTGTTATTGTTGTTTTTACCTGAAAGGCAGAGTGACAGGTGGGTGGGGGATGCCACAGCTGACTGACTCACCAAACACCCCCAACAGTTGTGCCAGACCAGAGCCAGGAGCTCAGAATTCCATCCATGGCTGGCAGAAACCCAAGTACTTGGGCCAGACTGTTGCCTCTCAAGCACATAAGCAGAAAGCTATACAGAAGCAGAGGTGACACTGATGCCAGGTACTCAAGATGAATACTAATACCCCAAACAGCAGCCCATTGGCTAGGACGGCCCCAAGTTGATCCTTTTAATTTAACTTTTTTATCATCATGAAGAATAGAAGCAGGTGGATCCAGCATAGTAGCCTAGCACCTAAAAATCCTCGCCTTGCACGTGCCAGGATCCCATATGGGTGCTGGTTCTAATCCCAGTGGCCCTGCTTCCCATCCAGCTTCCTGCTTGTGGCCTGGGAAGGCAGTTAAGGGCGGTGCAAAACCTTGAGACCCTGCACCTGCATGGGAGACCCAGAAGAGGCTCTGTGCTCTTAGTTTCAGATCAGTGCAGCTCCAGCCATTGCAGCCTCTTGGGGAGTGAATCAACAGCAAACAATAAATCTTCCCCCCTCTCTCCCTCCTCTTGGTATACCTGACTTTCCAATTAAAAACAAAACAAAAAAAAAAGAATAAAGGCAGGCATTGTGATGCAGCATGTTGTACCACTGCTTGAGATGTCTACATCTCCTGTGGAGATGCCAGTACTAGTCCCTGCTTCTGATCCAGTTTCCTTCTATTGCACCTGGGAAGCACTGGTTGCTGGCTCAGTCATCTGAGTTTCTACAACCCACAAGGGAGACATGGCTGTTGCAGGTATTTCGGGAACGAAACAGTGGCTAGGAGATCACTCTCCTATCTCTACATTTTAAATAAGCAAAATTTTAACAGAGGAGATTATCACTGAGAGTGAAACAAACTATGTTAACACCAACCCACAGATGTTCAAGTGATGAAAGCATTTATAGTAGTTCATTAGTTAAAAGTATGGCAAATACTATGATTGGATATTAAAGAAACTGCTTGTTTACTTAATTTCTTAAAACTTCCCAGTTTATATAAGGTTCTAAGCCAGAAAACACAGATTATGGAAGTATACCTGTAATGTTATGAGCATTTACTTTTGATTTGAAATCAGTCACCAGCTGTCATGAAAGCAGTCCAATCACAATGAATAAATGTACGAAACAGGTTAGTAAGAAGCGCAGGATCAAATTTAACACAGAACTAACAATACACTACTCACTTTAGTGCCTGAGCTGTCCACAGCGATGGACTCCACACTTCCCGCGTGACCCCTGCAGCAGTGCAGGGCTTTCACTTTGTTTCTCTCCACATTCCACTCCCATAGGAGAATGGTCTGATCCATAGAAGCACTCAGTAATAAGCATGACAAACCGTCTGCACGGGGGAAAACATAAGAAACAAATCAGTGTAAAATTTTACATATCATGTTCTGAAAGCTAAGAGTTAAATTTTTCCCTATTTTTGAAAGATTTTGAGATAGAAGACATCTTCTACCCACTTATTCTTCCCATGAGTCAAAGTGGCTGATTTCCAAATCCCTATCCAGGATTCTTCTCAGTTTAAGTAAAGAGTCCTCACCTTTTTTCACCCAGGCCACATCTTTTACAACATCGGTATGTCCTGCAATTGTCATGATCGACTTTCCTTCCAAGGACCAAATTCGTGAAGTCTTATCATAAGAACCAGTCAAGATCCTATAATGAGGAAAAAGAAATCTATGAATTTTTAAAAATCAGGGCCAGCACTTTTATGTAACAGCTTGAGCTGTGGCTTACAATACCAGCATCCCATATGGGTACCAGTTTGAGTCTCAGCTGCTCCATGTCACATCAGCTCTCAGCTAATGTGACGTGGAAAGCAGCAATGATGGCCCACGTTCTTGGGCTCCTGCACCCACATAGTAAACATGGATGAAGTTCCTGATTCTTCACTTTTGGTCTGACCTAGCCCTAACCATTGTAGGAGTGAATCGGGACATGGCAGATCTGTCTTTCTCAACGACAAAACTAACCTTGAAGATTATACTTTAAAACTTTTCTTCAAGATTTATTTATTTACTTAAAACGCAGTTGTAGACAGAGAGAGAGAGAAAAAAAGAATCTTCCATCTACTGGATCACTCCCCAAATGGCTGCAAACAGCCAGCTGGGCCATCTAGGTCTCCCACACTTACACAGGAACCTAAGGTTTGAAGCCATCTTGTGGTGCTTTACCAGATGCATTGGCTGGAAGTTGGATCAACAGTGGAACAGTCAGGACTTGGACAAAAACCTGTATGGGATGCCTACATTGTACCTGGCAGCTTAATTCACTGTGGCACAATGCTGGCTCCTAAATTCTTCACAAAAGTTTTTTCCTTCATTATATATTGGTCTTTAAAAGAATATAACCAACCAAAATAAATTTCCTGAGACATCTGACTTACTCAGAGACAAATGCTACAACATCTACAGAGAGAAAAAATAATCAACTAATAGATACCTGTTTCTTCTTCAGCACACTGAATGCAAAGGCCTTTCTATGTGTCACAGTCACCAATACAAGTACCAAAAAACTACTTTTACATAGATCAAAGAATCAGAGAAAATATTTAGAGAATGGTTTAAAAAGACCGAAGGAGCTAAGTAAGGACACAGAAGATATAATTAATACCATTCCTCTGCTCCTTGCACTGAACTGATCCAGTCATCGTGGAGCATGCACTGCTCTGGCTGAGGTGCAGTGTACTTCTCAACATACTCCAGCTCCACGACTTCTTCCTAGTCACAGAAAAAACCAGAAACCAAGCAAGTAGAGCATCATAAAAGAAAAGTAGAGCATCATAACAGAAATATTAGTACCACTCAAAAAGTTAAGAAACTTTTATTTGGCCTAATGATATCCTGAGGGTAACACTAAGAAATATTAATGATACTGGACAACTTATGCTAAAAGAGCAAGGGAGTTAAAAGAAAACTTTAAATTCATAAAAGCATAGTGCTTAATGAGTTGGCTCTTTTGTTTAGGATAATGAAAATACTTCTGACAAGGGATAATGGTAATTGTATATAATACTGTGAATATAAAGCAAATTAATTATACACTTAAAATGGTAAAATAATGCAGTTACTATAACTTTTAAACTATATGAAATGATAAAATTATGTTAATTGTAAAAAAAATAATACCAAGAAGATTGTGAAAAGCAGAAGGGGGAGTTATAAACCAACTTAATCCAGTTTTTACATGAATACAATTGTTTTATATATCTGGATGCAGTATTTACTCATCTGTATTTTCTTGAACACTATTACAAAAAGTATAAAGGCTTAACATACTGAAACTAAAGTTCAAATGTCTATGGAAAGACAATAATCAAAAGTATCACAGGTGCTAGGCAGATTTAGATTGATTCTAAAAGTTTACCTACAGTATCTGATAATGCTTTAAGTAAAAATGTAATAGGTAAGTTTTGAACTTACCGATGAGATATTCTCCAATTCCATGTGTTTGACCAAAGGCATTCGCAGAAACTGGCCCTTGATAAGGAAATCAAACTCCACATGTTTGTGGAATTCTAAACAAAATACATAATAAAACTATTATCACTCTCAAATGTACTAAAAACAGTATACGGCAATCTCTACGATACCTGCTACCATCCCAGGGTCTCCAAAATTTCTCATGTCACAAAGTCAAATATCCCAGCATACAACATAATTTTTAAGAACAGAGATACTTGGTTCTCTTGGGAAATACTTACTCTGAAAACATTTTTATTCTACGAAAAATCTCGTAATACAAGTAGAAGTAACAAATCTCACTTTAATATCTGCCCACAGGTAATCACCTACATTGCCCCAGTTCATTCCCCTCACCTTTTAAAAACAAACCTCAAAAATAAGATCATTTATTTATTTAAGAGGCAGAGTTATCTATCTGTTAGTTCACTCCCCACATGCTCACAATAGCTGGGACTATACTAGGTTATAGCCAAGCACCCAGAACTCAATCCAGGCCTCAAACGTGGGAGACAGGGACCCAATTAATCGAACCTTCACATGTTGCCTGCCAGGAAATGCTTTAGCAGAAAGCTGGAGGTAAAAACCATGGAGTCAAAATTCAACTTCAGGCACTTGGGGGCATCACAGGCAGCAGAACACTGGCTGGATTGTGATTCCACTGGTGACTGCAAAGGCCAGAGTACAGGTTGCTGTCTGGTCGGGACATGGCTGCAGCATCCCTTGGCACAAGTGTAGATTGGGTCAGGGGTGTGCCAGACTGGGCTAGACTTCAGCACCAACTGGTGATTGTGAGAACCCGGTTAGGGCTGGGTTAGGTCTCTGCCCCTGCTGAGCCATGTGTGAACTGTGTCTGGGTGAACTGTGTGAACATGTGTGAACTGTGTCAGGCTTGGCTGGGCTGTAACATCTAACAGTAAAAACTGGAATGGGTTGAAGGCCAGTCAGGAAAGGCTACTGGTCCCGCTAGGACAGGAGGTGGATTAAGTAGGGCTGGTCCATGAACCCAGCAGTGTGCGCAAGATCTGGCACTGGGAGAGGCTGAGGACTGAACAAATTGATCAACTACCCCAGCCAAGTGTTGGCAGTGAATTTCTGGGCAAATGGAAACTCTCCTGTGGACTATGTCAATCACTGGACTGTGGAAAGATTTCATTGTGCTTGGAGTGGCAAGATCAACAGTAATTCATAAGTGTTGAACTACCAAAACCTCATGAGCAGGACCCTCAGGGCATGCCCTACATCGGAACCCTGGGGTGGTGTCGGGTGGCTGGACCAAGGGAGCAGAGGCATTTGGGAGGCTGGGTGTGGCTTCTCCCTTTGTCCATCTTCCCCCAGAAACAGGAAGGAAAAAAAGGGAATGTGGAAATGGTGATCTCACTCACCTTCCTGTAGCCCTTGACCCTTATCAACCTAATCAACTATGTAAAAATCTTAATAAAAAAAAATTCATTTCCTTTTTAGCACATTAATATGTGTATCTAAAATGACTTTATTAAAAGTCATGTTAAATTTTAAATCTATTTCCATTTTATTTGAAGAGGGAAGAGTGAGTGAGAGAAAACAGAATGAGAGTTTGGGGTCTCTCCCTCTGCATTGCTGGTTCATTTCCCAAATGACTGTAGCATCTGGGATTCTCAGCCAAGGCTGGGAGTTGGGAACTCTAACCGGGTCTCCCCCAGGGGCAGCAGGATCCTGATTATATGAGCTGTCACCTCTTTCCTCCAAAGATGTGCAACAGTGGAAAGCTGGACTAGGAGAACTGGGATACAGGTGTCCCAAAGGGCAGCTTAACCATTAGGCCAATGACTGCTCTTAGTACTCCTTCTATCAATTAGCTGGTCAATGTTTAGCTGCTCTGTAGTGGGCTGTTCAAGTCAGTATCCCAAATCCATACATTTTATTTGATTAAATGTACCTCCCCTTGCTATTTATTTGTTAAAGCAAATGATTCACCCGTCTTATGATACAAAGGATTTCCTACATTGTGTTTTGGATTGATTACATCTCCAATGTGTCAAAATATCTCCCTGTACCCTTACACTGGTATTACCTAAACGCTTTATTAAAGTTGAGGTCTGAATTGCAGGTGAGACGGGGCAAGAATATTCAGACAGAAATGTTTCAAATAGTGTTATGACAACCTCCACTAATATATGATCATGTTTTTATTTAAGATGTTAAGATTTGGCCTCAGATGTACCAGCTTTATTCCATCCATTATAACGTTCCTTGTCAGCCATTTACATAATTAATACCTTTAAGCAGTTATTAATGAAATCATCTAATTTTATCACCTTCTTCATTTATTAGCTGCTATCCTAAAAGAATTACTCATCAACTATGTAATTTAGTTTTTAAAAATCAGAACTCCAAAACATCTGCATTGTAAACTCAATAATGATGATTCAGTTACTTAATTTATACAAAAGTATTTTTAAAATATGCTTCTATTTGAGTCACAACACTTATTAGAGGTGTTCTACTTGATATTTTCAACAAGTAAAATAGATAGATTTGAAATTTATAAAGGTAACTATGATTATGTACCAAGATGAAAGTGAAGACAAACACCAGTAAGCAAGCTTGTGAACATCTGTCAATCAAGACCACAGCTTACTAACGCTCAATCCCCCATGGCGGCTCAGAACCACAACCTCCAACTTAGCAAAAGAGATGCAGTTACTTGAGATGAATAATAAGATATACTTGCTTCTAAACAGTGATGTCACTGACAAAACTCAACTTTTTATGTTTAAATCTTCTCTACTTTATGAGGTGCTTCCTTTCATTTTTCTAAGACTTATTTATTTGAAAGGGGAGAGAGAGAAAGGCATCCTCCATCTCTTGCTGCTTCACTCCCTAAATGTCAGAACACCTGGGGCTGGGAGTCAGGAACTCTATCAGGCCTCTCAGGTGAGTTGCAGGAACTCAAGGATTTACCAGCACACCGCAACTATTACACTGAAATCATGATTCATAAATAAAAATCACTTTATTTCCATAATGTCTTAAAAGCAGATTAAACAAAAATTATTTCCTGAAAGCTTTCCAATTTATTACCCAGCACTATTGCACGTTATCATTCACAAATATAATTAACAAAATTCATACAGTATAAATACAAAAAAATGAAATTAAAATTCAATCTATTTTAAGATGGCCAGTAGTGCTGTGCTTTCTCCTAACTCATTAGAGCATGTATAAATACACTCACCATTTTTGCCCTCCAACAACTTATTGATAATGTTACTGAGGTCAGCAATTTCAGAGGCAGCAGGTATTGAGAAGGGAACATCATCAACTGCATATCTGTAAATAGGAAACGATATATATTTTAACAAATGTGCATTCATTTAATTTAATAAACACTTACTGGTTACTAATTACATGCCAGATATTTGCCACATGGTTATACAAAAATGAATTAAGACAAAGTCTCTATGAAGAAGCTATGCATGTGATATGTGTATAAAACAAAGAAGATATGGGAACAGCATCTGAACGGATGTTATACTAGAAAAGGGAGATTTTTGCCAGGTGAGGAATGAGTGGACAGGCAGAAGGGGAGAAAAGCAAGGAGAACGGCAGAAAAATAGCTAGAAGTTGTTAAACAGGTCACTGAGTCCATGGCCATACCACCCTGAATGCACCCAATCTCGTCTGATCTCAGAAGCTAAGCAGGGTCGGGCCTGATTAGTACTTGGATGGGAAACAGGTCACTGAGCCTGTTCCAGAAAGTTATGATTCTGCTCCAGGCAATGCCCAGAGGTAAGTATTAAGAGAAGTACTTGTATCGTTTGTTGTTGTTGTTTTGTTATTCTTTGTCATTGTTGGTTTTATAGAGTTAAATTAGGGCCCAGCAGCATGGTCTAGCAGCTAAAGTCCTCACCTTTAATACGCCCAGAATCCCATATGGGCGCTAGTTCTAATCCCAGTGGCTCCACTTCCCATCCAGCTCCCTGCTTGTGGCCTGGGAAAGCAGTTGAGGATGGCCCAAAGCTTTGGGACCCTGCACCCGTGTAGGAGACCTGGAGGAGGTTCCTGGTTACCGGCTTCGGATTAGTGCAGCACCAGTCATTGTTGTCACTTGGGGAGTGAATCATTGGATGGAATATCTTCCTCTCTGTCTTTCCTCCTCTTTGTATATCTGACTTTGTAATAAAAATAAACAAATCTCAAAAAAAAAAAAAAGATGTAAATTAAAGACAGAAATTAGGTTTTCATCTGCTGGTTCACTCTCCAGATGGTTCCAATGGTCAGGAGCTTCTTCCAGGCCTCGCACAGGGTCAGAGGGGCCCAAGCACTTGGACCATGTGTTGCTGCTTTTTCCAGGCCATTAGCAGAGAGCCAATCAGAAGTGTAACAGCCAGGACACACACCAGCACCCATGTGGAGCGGGCAACACAGGTGGCAGCTTTACCAGCTGGGGGACAGTGCTGTTTTATTTGAAACTGTTTATCCCTCAAAGCATTGAGAAACCTTTTTAGCAGTGCAAATTAGGAATAACATCACTGGAATTCTGTTTAGTTCGACCTGGCTGTGCAATGGATACTGCATTTGAGGAACACATGAAAGGAGGCCAGTGAGGAGACTCTTAGAAGCAAGAATGTGAGACAATAGTTACAGATCACATATCTGATAAGGGACTTAAGCCAACTTATATGACAACCACAACTCAGTAAAATTTTTTAAAATCACATTTAAAAAATGGGTGGAGAATCTCAATATATGGTTCTCCAGAGAAGACAGATAGTGAACAACCACATTAAAAAACGTTCGTCATCATATATCAGGAAAACGCATATCAAATCACAATGCAGCATCATATCAGACCCACTATAACAGCTTTAATGAAGACAGCTAATTGCAGATGTGGTAGATATGGAAAAACTGGCCCTCATACACTGCCATTGGTAACAGAAAATGACTCAGTGGTACTGGAAAACAGTCTGGCAGTTCCTCAAGAAGCTGATGTGGAATTATCCTGTCTTAAGAACGACTTCTATAATATATTCATATGGTATGGTGATATGAAAAACACGTACACAGAAAGTTTATATGTAAATGTTCACATAACCACCATTCACACTAAAAATGTAGATACAACCCATGTGATATCCAAGGGATGAAGAGCGAACCATGCTATATCCATATCAATTATTATTCTGCCAGTAAAAGGAATAAATTACTAACAATATACAAAATGGATAAAAATGCCAATTTTAAGTGAGAGAAGCCAGTCAGCCAGGAAATACGAGAAACTGTATTTCTAATCACATAAAAAGTCGAGAATTGATCATCCTTTTTCTGTAAAGATTTATTTTATTTATTGCAAAGTCAGATATGCAGAGAGGAGGAAAGACAAAGAGGAAGATCTCGTGTCTGATGATTCATTCCCCAAGTGACTGCTAGGGCCAGTGCTGCCCCAATCCGAAGCCAGGAGCCAGGAGCCAGGAGCCAGCAGCCTCTTCCAGATCTCCCATGCATGTACAGGGCCCCAAGGCACTGGGCCATCCTCGACTGCTTTCCCAATCTACAAGCAGGGAGCTGAGTGGGAAGAAGAGCCGCTGGGATTAGAAGCAGTGTACATATGGAATCCCAGCACATGCAGGGCAAGGAATTTAGCCACTAGGCTATTGCAAATGGCTCAATAATTGATAATCTTACTTAGGGCTAAGGGTTTTAAAGGTACTGGAGATAATAAAAAATGTTCTAAATTGAATGTGGTGATGTCTGCAAAACTGCAAATGTTGGGCCTCAAGGTACACTGTAAATAAGGCAGTTCTGCTCCGCAAAAGGCAAAACAAAACCAAAACCAAACCTTATAATACCAAAAGCTTTACTTCTTTTTACTTAGTGTTTTGGCCAGTAGGATAAGGTGGGAGATAGCAAATTTCTCCCACATTCATAGCAAATGTTCACTACAAGCATACTCAAATATGTATAACAACTGTTTCTCCCTCATTCAACTAGCCAAAACCTACTACTTGGAAAGAAGAGGCAAGAATGTTTCAAGAGTTTCAATTTCTACATTTTGTTACTTTCTAGAGCACTTAAATACACATTCATACCCATTCATGCAAGAGGGTACTTCAAAAGGCTCTTAACAAATGAAACCGGGCCGGCGCAGTGGCGCAGTGGTTAAGGTCCTCGCCTAGCATGCTCGGGATCCCATATGGGCACCGGTTCTAATCCCAGCGGCCCCTCTTCCCATCCAGCTCCCTGCTTGTGGCCTGGGAAAGCAGTCGAGGACGGCCCAAAGCTTTGGGACCCTGCACCTGTGTGGGAGACACAAAAGAGGCTCCTGGCTTCGGATCGGCATAGCATCGGCCCGTTGTGCTCACTTGGGGAGTGAATCATCGGACGGAAGATCTTCCTCTCTGTCTATCCTCTCTGTATATCCGCCTTTCCAATAAAAATAAAATAAATCTTTTTTTTTTATTTTTTTTTTTTTAAAGATTTATTTTTACTATTTTTTATTGGAAAGGCGGATATACAGAGAGGAGAGACAGAGAGGAAGATCTTCCATCCGGTGACTCACTCCCCAAGTGAGCGCAACGGGCCGATACTATGCCGATCCGAAGCCAGGAGCCTCTTCCGGGTCTCCCACGCGGGTGCAGGGTCCCAAAGCTTTGGGCTGTCCTCGACTGCCTTCCCAGGCCACAGGCAGGGAGCTGGAAGGGAAGCGGGGCTGCCGGGACTAGAACCAGCGCCCACATGGGATCCCGGGCGTGCAAGGCGAGGACTTAACCACTTGCGCCACCGCGCCGGGCCCAATAAATCTTAAAAAAATATATGGAACTGAGGGCCTGGCACAGTAGCCTTATGGCTAAATCCTCACCTTGCTTGTACTGGGATCCCCATAATGATGTTATTTTGTGTACTGGCTGCTCCACTTCCCAGCAAGCTCCCTGCTTGTGGCCTGGGAAAGCAGTCGAGGACAACCCAAAGCCTTGGGACCCTGCACCTGCGTGGGAAACCTGGAGAAAGCTTCTGGGCTGGGATTGGCTCAGCTCCAGCCATTATGGTCTCTAGGGGAACGAACTGGCAGATGAAAGTTCTTTCTCTCTGTCTCTCCTCCCCTCTGTAAATCTGACCTTCCAATAAAAATAAATAAGTCTTTTAAAAAAAAACCTGAAATATCGGGCCCGGCGCGGTGGCGCAAGTGGTTAAAGGTCCTCGCCTTGCACGCCCGGGATCCCATATGGGCGCCGGTTCTAATCCCGGCAGCCCCGCTTCCCTTCCAGCTCCCTGCTTGTGGCTTGGGAAAGCAGTCGAGGACAGCCCAAAGCTTTGGGAACCTGCACCCGCGTGGGAGACCCGGAAGAGGCTCCTGGCTTCGGATCGGCATAGTATCGGCCCGTTGCGCTCACTTGGGGAGTGAACCATCGGACGGAAGATCTTCCTCTCTGTCTCTCCTCTCTGTATATCCGCCTTTCCAATGTAAAAATAATAAAAATAAATCTTTAAAAAAAAAAAAAAACAACCTGAAATATTAGCTTATTTTGCTGGTAAAAAAACCTCATGCGTATTTTTTCCATAATACGTTTTTAAAAGCTTACTTGTTTTGGGCCCGGCGCGGTGGCACAGTGGTTAAGGTCCTCGCCTTGCACGCCCGGGATCCCATATGGGCGCCGGTTCTTATCCCGGCAGCCCCGCTTCCCTTTCAGCTCCCTGCCTGTGGCCTGGGAAAGCAGTCGAGGACGGCCCAAAGCTTTGGGAACCTGCACCCGCGTGGGAGACCCGGAAGAGGCTAGGCTCCTGGCTTTGGATCGGCATAGTATCGGCCGTTGCTGCTCACTTGGTGAGTGAATCATCGGACGGAAGATCTTCCTCTCTGTCTCTCCTCTCTGTATATCCGCCTTTCCAATGTAAAAATAATAAAAATAAATCTTTAAAAAAAAAAAAGCTTACTTGCTTTTATTGGAGATGCAGATACAGAGAGAAGGAGAGACAGAAAAACCTTTCCCAAATGGTTCACTCCCCAAATGGCTACAACAGCCAGAGCTGAGTTGATCAGAAGCCAAGAGCCAAGAGCTTCCTCTGGGTCTCCTATGTCGGTGCAGGCTCCCAAGGCTTTGGCCCATCCTCGACTCCTTTCCTGAGCCGGGCCCACTGTCTATTATTTCTTTCAACAGCACGTGTTAAAACCATAATCAGTGAATAGTAAGGCAGTAGTAGGCAAGTACACACACACTCATGCCCATTGGTAATGTATTTTATACCATAAGAGGACCGTATATGATTTGCCAAGTCTACTCACAAAACTACAAGCACAAAATAAAAGCCATTATCATAACTGAGGTGTGATGTATTTTTCTGCTTCAGAGCTGACAATTACAATTATCAACGCTGGAAAACCTAAACGACATTGTTGCCAATCTCCATTGGAGAGCTTAACACAGTGCTTGACGTCAGCTGAACACACGAAAAACAGTACAACATGCATGCAAAAGCACCCATGCTTAAAGGTTTCAAATGAGTGCTACAGACCCAAGGACCCCTGGGAAAACGGTAAACGTGTAAAACGGGTTTGTATCAACAGCCAAGCTTTGTGTGTTTCTACGTGAATCAATGCGACTTACTTACACAAAAATGTATATAATCTATTTAGGTGGATGAGACTGTCAAATCCTTAATAGACTTAACTGGGCACTCGCTCACCAAAAAAAGCTTTTGCTAACCCCCCTCGCTGACAGTTCCCCTGTCCCGCGCGGCTGCAAGGGCATTTTCCATCTCCTACTTAAAAAGGAAAGGAAAATCGCACGTTTTGAAACTGACGGGCTACTGCCCAAGAGCCGGGACCCACGGGCCCCACCGCACGTGGAGGTGCGCCGCCTGTGCGTCACTCAGAATACACCGATTAATGATAAATAAAGGCCACCCTGAAGCCCTCCGCTCTCCCCACGAGGTCAAGCACCCGCCGCAGAGGAGGGGAACCCCGCAAGGTAGCGCCGGCTCCCCGCGGGGAGGACCAAGGTCCGAGAGAGGGGTCCGGTCCCAAGGAGGAGAAGGGACGGCAGAGTCCTCCCCACACACGACGCCGGAGCGCAGAGGGCAGACGCGCGCCAACTTACTTCTTGTTTTCGGTGTAGAAGCGCGTCTGGAGCTGCGCCATGGCGGGCGGGAGGGCGGCGGGACACGTGCCCAGGACCACCTAGAGTCGGCGGCAGACGGCAGCCCGCGTCGTTCCCGCGTCGATCGAGAAGACAGGCGGCCCGGTCTCCTCAGACACCACGAGGCTGCGCTTCCGCAGACGCCCAGCCCACACACATCGACGACCGATCCCTAGATTCCGGAATCATCGATCAGCAAAGCAGAGCTGTCGCCTCGTTCCTTTTATCCGCAGACATTCGAGCATGTGATAGATCAGATACAGAAAAGCCCATCTCACATCTCCTGAAAACAATTTTTTTTTTCCTTTTAAGAAATCGTCCTCGGACCAGGTACTTAAAACGCAGCGTTGGGCTTCCACAATCCCCAGAAAGCAGCGCGCGCAACTCCGACGCTGTGATTCCTGGGAGTTGTAGTCTTTGGCCTCACAGGCAGCCTTCAAGACTCGTTCATTTGTATTAAACCCGTTGCCTTCAGCTTGCCTGTTTCTCCTTTTACACAATTATTTCTCAACCAGAATCTCACTGTCAAGACTTCTCCCCGGGCCGTCACCTGTGAATTTCGGCTTTGAGAACCTACGGAGCGGCTGCAAACAGAAGGCTTCGGGAAGGGGAACCGGATACGGTGGCCGAGAGGGGTCCCACCTCGTGGGACTGCGCCGCGCGTTCCCGGAGGGCTGCGCCTGCGCATTGTGCTGGTCTCCATGGCGGGGCCTCGGAGCCAAGACGAGGTTGAGTAGACTCGTTTTGAATTTTCTCCCCTCTGCTAGGGCGGACCTCCGTCCTTGCCTTGTGGGGGCTCTCGGCGGCAGCAGGGCGGAGGGAGGCGGAGGTTTGGCAGATTGTCTGAAGGCCCACGAGACGGACGCTCCGTCCCAGCCTCCCTGTCTTGCCCTGCAGCCGCCTCCCGTCATCTCCCGACCCGCCGGGGCTCGCTGTGGCACCCGGCCGCCGGCCCCCTGCCTCAGTCCGGCCCGAACGGCGCCTTCCGCGGCCCGCAGCCACGGGGCTTTTTTGTTTTTTTGGTTTTTTTTTGTTCGGCCCTCCATGGCGAGGCCTACTATGACCCCCGGCCCGGGAGGGGGCACGCGGGATCTGGGGAGGCAGGTTGGAAAAGGAAGGAGGTTAGGTGTCTTAAAGAGGGTTGCAAAGCCCGATGCTTGGCCATCGCTGCTGAGAAGCACCCTGACCCCGACGCTTGGGTGGGAGTGCCCAAGCTGCCCCGCGACCCGCATTTTAGTTCCTCCCCTCGTCCCCTTTCTGGGGAAAAGCTTCCTTGCAGGCCTCCCCTCCGCCGGGGGTCTCTAGAACTAGCTCTGGCTTGGAATCTTTTCTCTGAGGGTGCATGGGTGGAGAATGCACCATCCAGATTCCAGAGCCATGTTCTAAGACGTTCGCCTGATACGCCCCAAGAGGGGGGTCTCCGAAAGACCGCATGTAGAAGGTAGAACTGGATTGCAAAATTTGTGGGCAGAGCTGTATGTGTGCAGGTGAAGACAAGGAAAGGTTTCTGTTCTTAATGTTGCTTGCGCTGCGGTGTTAGCCGTAGAAAATGAGATGTGACCTACACAATTGGAAGCAAGAAAAAAAAAAACTGATTAGAAAGCAGTGACCATGCAGTAAGACCTTGTTCGATGTGTTTGCCTTTATACACTGTGAGCCCTGCAAGAATGATTCCTGGGGTCAGATGTTGCCATTGTTGCTTCATTAACCTCACTGCGCTTCGGTCACCCATGAGAATTGAATAGCACATAGAAACCCAGTAAAGGCTGCTTGTTAGCATTTATAGTAGTTTTTAATAATTACAGGTTTTGCGCACGCGAGCAGATAAAGGAGAACAGCCATTTCAGTGGATAAATCAATGATAAGACCTCTGGGGGAAAAAAACAGAAAATCACCGTTGTTAGGACTAGGCTTGTTCATTTAAACATCTGATTCCCTTGAAAGGACCGGGGGTGGTACCTGAAACTTGAAACACTTTGTTAATCGAAGCATTGGTATTAATTCTGTGTGTTTTGGATAATATGTTGTTGGTTCAGATATCTTTTTGAGAATGTGTGTATAATCGCATAATAATACATTGAAAGTCATCACTAGGAAAAATACTAAAATAATATACCTAGAGTCAGTTCTTCAAGCTTGATCATAGTTTGAAATGCGATGTGGAGACGCTGAATAGGGTGTTTATGTCAGAGAACTTTGCAAAGGAGAAGTCTTGAATTCATCAAAAGGCATTTTTCACTTTACCAAAACTGTTAGTTGAGGGACACTTCTTTGGTGCTCTGAAGTACTGAACACCCAGTACAAAGCTTTGAGTTTTTGTGCTGCAGTGATTTGTTTGAGATTACCTCAAAGAAATACGTATGATAGATAACGCTTTTACTTTGAGCACTTTTCTTAAGTTAGCATATTAACTACAAGGCTTTGGTTCTTGATGGTTTTCTGTAGGATTCATTTACTACAATCCACATAAAAACCCAGTGGCCTGAAAGACTGTATTTCACTTACAGGTTGTTTGGTTGGTTTACAATGGCGCAGCATGAGCTTTGGGATCCTGTGTTCCCTTCCCCTTATTTGGTTTTGATTCTGAGCCTTAGGGTCTCTGTGACCTTAAGCAAGTGACAGTTGCCCCGCCTCATCACCCATTTGCTCTCCTGGGTTAGTTATGTACAAAGACAGTCTGAAAATAGTACAGGGACATTTCAGTAGTAAAGAGAATGGCATAGTGAAATTGTATGCTACCCAGGCAGACTTGAGTCATTCCTTTGTCCAGGGAAGCAGCTGTGTTAGCCATCTCGTGGTTATCAGGTCATATGTGAAGCTTGATAGTGACCCCACAGCACAAACCCCAAAGGCGGGTTGCTGAAGGGAAGCCGCAGGCTCTTCCTTTAATTGGGAAGGTGAAAGTTGTCAGTATGGGGAAGTAAAGAGCACTCTTTGCTGAAGTTACTAAGCTATGAGCTCTGTACGGTAAGAGATTGTGAGAGAGGGACTACATCTGTAAATTAAAGTTTATCATTGTCAGTGTCCCTATGTTTGAAAAAAATGTTGGAGAGGCAGAAACAGAAGCGGTTTGTTCTTGTTAATCTCCCGCTCTGCCTAATTCATGAATTAACTTGTGACACTGGGATGCGTAGATACAGAGGTGCCAGCTGAGGTTTTGGGCCTGCGCAGAGGATCTTGGAGTGTGTCCCCTGTGGATGAGGGGAGGACTGCTGTGTTTGACAACCTCCGCTGTCTAATCCATCAGCAGTCACAAAGTCTACCTTAGCCTTATTGGAAAACTTAAAGCCTTTTATGGGAAGAGGTTAAAAGCAATGCGTGTGTGCAGGATAGAAAAGGGGTTGAGACTGCTTATATGGATGTTTTAATTTTGACAGCTTTGATTCATACTAATTTTGTACTTCCTATAAAAGCATATTGCTTACCTACATCTAAAAAATAAATTTTCTTTTTCCAGTTTTTAAAAAGGTTTATTTATTAATTGAAAGGCAGAATTAACTGAGAAAGGGAAATACACCTACCCACCCATCTTGTGTCTGCTGTCTCATGCCCTGATGGCTGGGCCAGGCTGAAGCCAGGAGCCTCGAGCTCCAACAAGGTCTGCTTTGCAGGGCCTCAAGGCCTTGAGCCATCTCCTGCTTTCCCAGGTGCTTGAGCAGGGTGCTGGAGTGGAAGGGGCACAGCCAAACACAAACCAACATATTTCCACAATAGTAGCCCAAAAAGTCTTATTTTCTAAAGTATTTTTGAGCAGTATATTTTAATGTTATAAATAAGATGTAAAATAAATAAGTAAGATATAACACTGATACTGAATCTATTTCAAGGTCCTTTAAATCTTGGGATGTTAATCAAGGTACCTAGCATTCAATGACCTCTCGTTCACTTGTATTTGGAGATTTATTCTCAGATCATGGGTTATTAAGAGATACATTTTATCATACAGAAATTTATGGAAGAAATTCAGCATAATCAGATGTTAAGATATTTTTTTTAGAAATATATTATGTGCGTATGTATATACACATACGTGTGTATGTATAGCTGGGAAGTTACCTCCGAAGTTGTTAACAGATAGAATTGTCAACGACTAAAGCTAAGATAGCAGTAGGCCAAAAATTGTTCTTCAGAGAGATGGGTAATTAGTACCTGGGTGGTCTCTTCCCCGGCTTGCATTCAATTTGTGTAAATTAGAAAAGCCCCTTTATTCTCTAAATCAAATAAAGAAGCATGAGTTTTTAGATTCTTTCTGATCTTTATTGTGCGTATAAAGCCAACTTCACTTTTGTAATGTGATGCCAAACATTCTAGAAAGCAATTTACTAGTAAAACCAAACAGCTTAGGATATTTTCTGAAATCTAATCATTATCAATCATATAAATGATGTGTTTTCCTATCTTCTTTTTTCCTTTTTTTTTTTTTTTATTGTATCCTAGTATTTCTTGTTAAGAAATGCTTGTCAGTTCCAGGATTTGTGAGGAGGTTACAGAATAGAGTTTTTTATTTTCCAACTTGTTGTGGATCCAAGACAGGATAGCATGTTAGCAGATATTTCCACTAAGCAGGGAAAATGCAGTTTGCTGTAGAGCTCTTTGTTTCAGTGGCAGTTATGGAATGTGAGAACTGAAACAAAGCCTTACTCCAGTTCTCTAATTTTTCATTAGGAAACAGGCACAGAGAGGTTAAGTCACTGACCCCAAGACACATGCAGTTACCCATAAAGTTAGTTCTTGGCTTTAGTTCTCTTCAACTAAAGCGATCAGTTAGGTGATCATGAATAATTTTGAATGAAATATGAATAAAGAGATCTCATTTTCTGTATACATAGGAAAAGAAAATGTACGTTTTTCTCTTTGCAGAAAAAAAAAATGTCGGAGTGAAGACACAGTTGTAGCTCTTGCATAAAAGAAGCTCCAGCTATCATGATTCAGTGCCCCCAACAGGAGGAACTTAAATGGGTAATGAAAGAGATTTCTAGGGGCTGAAGTGCTGTAGGCCTGCCATCTCAACTCAAGCCACTGCCTGAAGGTAATGATGTTGCTTTTAACTTCTTAAAAAGTAACAGCTTCATAAGTCTAAACTATTATCATTTATGAATACAAAAGTCAAATTACACCTTGTATATGGCTACTTTGTTCTATTTGTTACTGCTAATTGGAAAGGGATGTATTTAATATTAATGTCTTAATCCTTCAAAATTTTATTTTGACCAAGTGAGTTGTGATTTAGGGATAATAGTTTATCACCTGTATTGACATTTCAAGATAGATGAGAAAATTGGGTATCCTTTTGACCCTGCAGTCATCAGGATTAAAAGGTAATACAAATTGAGAGTAAGGAATAGTTCCTTTTACTACATGCAAATCATTTTTTTTTTCCAGAGTATCTACAACTTTAAAAAGAAAAGCTTTTTTTAAAGAGAAAACACTTATTTATTTTAAAGCGGGAAAGACAGACCTTCCACCTGCTGCTTTAGAATAGATGGCCACAATGACCGGGGCTGGCCCAGGCCAAAGCCAGGAGCCAGGAGCTCCACCCTGGTCTGCCACGTGGGTTTCAGAGGCCCAAGTTCTTGAGTCATCTGCGGCTACTTTGCTAGGTATTTTTAGTTTTTGTTTTTTACAGAGATTATAGAGAATTTTGTATGAAACACAATGGACCTGGTGCTTTTTGTTTTGGAATATTATTAATTTCTGATTAGTTTATTTGATAGAAACTCAGATTATGTCTTTCTCCTTGTAGGAATTGTTGGTTTAAGGTAACAATAAAGCTTGAGTGCCTCCTTCCTTTTTTCTTAATTGTGCTGATAGGGCCTATGGCTGGTTACACAGATATATTTTGAGTTTTGCCAGCTAAGTACATTCATAAAAGCAAATTCACATTTATCTAAACCTAAGGCACTCTTTTGGACTTTCTACAAAAGTGTTCTAGAATTCTTCAAATATCTGTAATTGTTTTAAATGATATGACAAATTTACAGTTGTAAATACTATAGTCACCACTTTTTTATTCTCACCAATAGAGTTTTTAGTTCATCTGAATACCTCTTTGTTTGAACCAAATCCATGAGATTTTGCTTTATCCCATTGAGCTTTGAAATTTACTGTTTTAATGTTGTGTTACATCAGTTAAAAAAGGAATAATCTTGTTGCCAGTCTATAGTTGAAATTCAATTTTTCTTTTTTTTAATTTAAATTTTAATTGTTATTATTGCTCACATAGTTGACAGAGATGTATGCCTGTATGGCTCTCTGATGAAGGTGGCGAGGGTCAAGGTATGGAGGAAGGTGGGTGAGATGAATGTTCCTACTTTTTTTCTCCTGTGTCCATCGTGGCAGAATGGAAGAGGGCCACTCATTGCTGATTACGTCAGTGCCTGGGTGTGAAGGATGGTCATTTGATGATTCCTTCGAGGCCCTAATGTGGGGAAGAGTTTTCTGAGGGTGTTTCTTGAGTGGTTTCAATAGTTCTGAGACATCATCAGCATTATTGCACCAGCATTGAAGAAATTTTTTTAAAAAGATTTATTTATTTTTATTACAAAGTCAGATATACAGAGAGGAGGAAAGATAGAGAGGAAGATCTTCTGTCCAATGATTTACTCCCCAAGTGAGCTGCCAACGGCCGGTGCTATGCCGACCGGAGCCAGGAGCCAGGAACTTCCTCCAGGTCACCCACACGGGTGCAGGATCCCAAAGCTTTGGGGTGTCCTCGACTGCTTTCCCAGGCCGCAAGCAGGGAGCTGGATGGGAAGTGGAGCTGCCGGGATTAGAACCGGCGCCCATACGGGATCCCGGGCGTTCAAGGCGAGGACTTTTAGCCGCTAGGCAACGCCACCGGACCCCAGCATTGAAGAAAATTTTTCAAAGGTCTATTAGCTGACCAAGTCTTTCTTAATGCATCCACAGGACCAGGAACCTTTGCAAAACTTGGCCAGGAAAGTGGTCCAACCTATTCTGCTTTACATCTTCTGATGAGGCACTTGCCAACTTCTGACCTAAATGAGCTGGCTGTCATATCCCCTGTGTACATCTGGGTATGCACTCCATTGGGTGGGCATCAACAACTGAGGAGGCCCAGTCCTGATACCCATACTCCAAGTTAGTACCACATAGCTACGGTTTTCCCTGTAGCCAGGGTTTGAGTCTAGCAGTCTAGCTGGGGAGTTCCCCAAGAAACCTTGCCTGGGATAACCTCAGACTTGCGTGCACAAGCCAATACAGGGCCAGATTTGGTCCATTACTCGCACCAGCCAACATTCATACCGTTGGATGCAGCTGCCTGGTTAGTTCTGCCCTCAGCCTCATCTCTCACAGGAATCTATGGGTGCTGTGTCCTAGCTCAGCCTAGCCCACCCTAGTTGGGGCAACCCGCAGTAACCCCTACCAGCTTTTTGTTTGTTTGTTGTGCCTGTATGTACTGTGGCCTAGCCTGGTCCATCCTGCGTTCCATCTGGCTCTCATGAAAACCCATGGGTGCTGCAGCTTAGCTCAGCCTGTTCCACTCCTAGACCCAGCCCACACTTAAGATGACAGGTGTTGAGGCCTAACCTGACTGGCCTGCCCCTATCCCTGGTTCTTGTGCTCACCAGTGGGAGCTGCAGTAGAGTGTCCACTCTCGCTTAGGAAGCCCATTTCCAGCCCTAGATCATATTCCTGCCAAGGGGTACCATGGTCTAGCCTGACATGGCTTACACCCAGTCCCAGAACGTGCCAGTGGGGCTGCAGCCTAGGTAGTCCACCTAGTTTGCCCCAGTTCTGTCACTTTCTCGTGCCAATGGGTGCAGCAGCATACCTAGCATGGTCCATCTACTATATCTATTCCAGCCCCTGGTCTTCTGCATGCTGGTGGGTGCTTTGGCTGCCCACTTGCTGTCTCAGCTCTTGCTGGTAGGTATTATGCCCTGTCCCTGACTGGCATGGCCCACATGCCTTCCTGGCTCTCGTACACGCCAGTGTGTGCTGTGGACTGGCCCAATCCAACCTGCCCCCAGACTTTGCCCACACAAATGTTGACAAGTGCTGAAACCTTGTCTGACCTGGCCTTCCCCCAATCCCAGCTATTTTGTGGTAGCTGTGGCTGAGCAGGGGAGTTCCCAAGCTCCCCCAGGAGACCCACTCCAGCCCCAAATCCCACATGCTCTGACAGGTGCCGTGGCCCCGCTTGGTGTGGTCTGCTTCGGTTCTGGCCCTATTTTTTTTTTTTAAAGATTTATTTATTTTTTATTGCAAAGGCAGATCAGATTTATGGAGAGAAGGAGAAACAGAAAGATCTTCCATTCATTGGTTCACTCCCCAAGTAGTTGTAACAGCCAGAGCTGAGTCAATCCTAAGCCAGGAGCCAGGAGCTTCTTCCAAGCTTTGGGCCATCCTCTAACTGCTTTCCCAGGCTACAGGCAGGGAGCTGGAAGGGAAGTGGAACAGCCAGGACATGAACTGGCACCCATATGGGATCCCAGCATTTACACGGTAAAGATTTAGCTACTGAGCCATTGTGCTGGGCCCACATCAGTAAAACTTACATATAAGGCATATGATTGTTCCATTTCCTTGTCAGCAGTTGTTAAAATATTTTGAAATTTTTATAAAAGAATTATTTATTAAAGAGTTAAAGAATGAGATACATGGAGAGCTCTCATTTGCAGGTTTCACCTCTTTTTTGTTTGTTTTGTTTGATCATATTATCATAAAAGTTTATTTTTTATTTCTTAATTGTACACTTTTTGTTTTATTTTATTTTATTTTTAACTTTATGATACAATTCCATGAGTTCTGGAAAGCAGGTTCACCTCTTAAATCCCACAGTGGAAATGAGGGAGGGGTGTCTGAAGCTTGGAATGTGGAGCCTAACCCGTCTCTCACAAAGGTAGCAGAGGCCCTTGAACCCTAGCACTCTGAATTACAGGCATCCCAACTTAAAGTTCAGCTGCCAAGGCAAACTTTTTAATTTTAAATATGTAGCAAGTAGGTAGTTTTACATTATTGTTTTCATTTCCATTTCCCTAATGATTAATGCAAAAATGATGAGGTCGTTTCTGTGTGCCTGTTTGTTGTGCATCTTTAGTGAAGTGTCTCTTCAGATAGTTTGCGTGTTTTTTTTAATTGGGGTGCACTTATTTAAAATGGAAAAAAAAATTGGGGTGGGGTTGATGCCATGGTGTTGCAAGCTAAACTGCTGTCTGCAGTGCTGGCATCCCGTGTGGGCATTGGTTCAAGTCCCGGCTGCTCCACTTCCAGTCCAGTTCCCTGTTAATGTATCTGGAAAAGCAGCAGAGGATAGCTGAAGTCCTTGGGCCCCTGCACCCACATGGGAGACCTAGAAGAAGCTCCTGGCTCCTGGCTTCAGATTGGCCTAGTTCCAGCCAGTATGACCATCTACTTTGGAGAGTGAACTAGTAGATAGAAGATTCATTCTTTCTCTCTCTTTCCCCTTTCCTCCTCCCCTTTTACCCTCATTCCCTCCCTTCCTCTCTCTCTCTCTCTCTCTTGCCCTCTCCAGAACTCAGTCTTTCAAATAAAAATTAATAAATCTTTTAGAAAATCTTGGGGTGCGGAGGCTGGCACTGTGGTGTATAAGATTAAGCAGCTTCCTGCCACACCACATGCCATAATGATGTCAGTCCTGGCTCTTCCACTTGTAATCCAACTCCGTACTAATAGCCTAGAAAAGGAGCAATGGATGGTGGCCATTTGGGGAATAAACAATTGAATGGAAGTTCTCTTTCCTTTTCTATCACTCCCTTTCTCTCTGTCAAAGCCTTTCAAGTAAATTGGGTTAATATTTCTTTAAAAATATTTAGCTAGGATTTTTGTATTTGTATGCTTATGAATGTTTTATCAAGTCAATTTTATTTCTCTTCAGGTATAATGAGACCATCAGATAAGGAGACTAATGCTATTGGAAAGATAGGTTGTTCATCATAGTTCCCTGGAAGGCGGGGAACATGCCACCCAATGCAGGGCCACACAAAAGAACCTCAAGGTAGGTGGTAGGCAGAGGGGCTAAGGGTGCTGCAAGAGAGCCTTTTTGGTCATTTCCAGGGGAGGAATTGCCAAGACAGGGTAAGCAGGCTAGCAATGTTTATGATTAGTTGGCTCCAATAATTCCAATGAATTTTTGGGGTGTATTGGCTGCTCTTAGTTGTCTGATACTCAGACCTGGGATGATAAGGATAGAGGAATAGTAGCCAGGGGGCAAGAGACCTACCCAGAGGTGGTTGGGAAGAGGGGTATGGGGCTTGGATAGGTTACTTACATAAGAAATAAAGTTTCAGAGCATTGTGTCACAGCTAGTAAAGTCGCTGCCTGCAACACTGGCATCCTGTATGGGTGCCAGGATGTATTCAAGTCCCAGATGCTTCACTTCGCATCCAGCCCCCAGCTAATGTGTCAGGAAAGGAGCAGAGGAAGACTCAAGTACTTGGTCCACTTCCCCGACATGGGAGATCTGGAAAAAGCTCCTGGGTGCGAGCATTGGACTGGCCCAGCTCGGCGATTGCATCATCTGGAGAATGAACCAGTGGATGAAAATCTGTCTATAACAGAGAAAAGGAGTAAGAAAGAGAAACAGATCTTCCATCCACTGGTTCACTGTCCAAATGGTCACAATGGCTGGAACTGAGCTGTTGCAAAGACGGGCGGCAGGAATTTCTTCTGGGTCTGCCATGTAGGTGTCAAGTCCCAATACCTTGGGCCATCCTCTGCTGCTTTCCTAGGCCATCAGCAGAAGCTGGAAGGGAAGTGGAGCAGATGGGACAACAAATCATTGCCCAAATGAGATACCTGTGTTTGTAGGTGGAGGAGTAGCCAATTGAGCTATTGTGCTGGCCTCATAAAGAAATAAATAAATCTTAAAAGGAAGGAAAGGGAAGGTGGAAGAAAGGAAGAAAGGAAGGCAAGTCTGTTGCAGGGACTTTATTGTCTCTAGGGTTAGTTCATCTTTGAACATTGAGACCTTCCCTGAAAAGCAAGCCTGCGATGTCAAAGCAGCATATACAAAACCTATGACATGATCAATATAATGATTATAAATGACCTGTAGTCATTTTTTTTTAAGATTTATTTATTTATTTTTGTTGGAAAGTCAGATATACAGAGAGAATCTTCCGTCCGATGGTTCACTCCCCAAGCAGCCGCAGCGGCCAGAGCTCTTCCAGGTCTCCCACATGAGTGCAGGGTCCCAAGGCTTTGGACCGTCCTTGACTGCTTTCCCAGGCCACAGACAGGGAGCTGGATGAGAAGCAGGGCTGCCAGGATTAGAATCAGCACCCATATGGGATCTCGGTGTGTGCCAGGTGAGGATTTTAGCCACCAGGCTACTGCACCTGGCCCTGTAGTCATCTTTCTCAAAACTGTCCTTGTCAATTTTGGTATTCAACTTATATTTTCCTTATAAATGAGTTGGAGTAATTCACAATCAAAAAGTTTATATAAAATGGAAATTTATTTAGTTTTTAAAAACTTGCCTATAACATGTCACGAGTTGGGAAGACTACGGAAAAATATTTACTTTCCATTCAACTTCTTTAACATATATAGGACTATACATCAGTTACATTTATTCTTTCATTTGTTTTGTTAAGTTTTAAAAAGAGTTTTTTTTAAAAGAAGAGTTACAGGGAGGAGAGACATCTTCCATCTGGTGGTTCACTCCCAGATGGCTCCAACGGCCAGAGCTGAGCTGATCCAAAGCCTTCTCCAGGTCTCCCACACAGGTGCAAGGTTCTAAGGCTTTGCACCATTCTCCACTGCCTTTCCAGGCCTCATGCAGGGAGCTGGATGGGAAATGGAGCATCCATGATATGAACTGATACCTGTATGGCATGCTAGGTCTATACATGGAGTCTTAACTTACTATGCTATGGTGTTGATCATTTTTGTTGTTGTTGTTTGTAATTTTTTATTGGAAAAGCAGATATATAGAGAGAAAAAGATACAGTGAGAAAGACCTGTCTGCTGGTTCACGCTCCAAGTGGCTGCAATGGCTGGAGCTGAGCCTATCTGAAGCCTGGAGCTTCTTCTGGGTCTCCCACGTGGGTAGAGAGACCCAAGAGTTTGGAGCATCCTCAACTGCTTTCCCAGGCCAGAAGCAGAGGCTGGAAGGGAAGTAGAGAAGTGGGACATGAACTAATGCCCTTATGGGATCCCAACCAGTCAAGGTGAGGGCTTTAGCCACTAGGCTGCTGTGCCAGGCCCATGTTGGCCCATTTTGAAAATTTTTTTTTCTGTTTTGATAAGTTAATGAAATTAAGAGATTCTCTTTATTAGCTGGATTTTAAAGATAAGTTATTTACATTTTATTTGAAAGGCAGAGAGAGAGAAAGAGAAATGGTGGTAGCTATTCCATCCACTGGTTCCAGGACTAGGGCAGGGAAATGGCAGGAGCTCAGATCTCACTCTGGACCCACCACATGGGTGGCAGAAACCCAGGTATCTTGAGCTATCACTTTCTGCTTTACATGTGTGTATTAGCAGGAATCTGGACTTGGAAATGGAGCAGGGACTTGAAATCAGTCACTCTGATACGGAATGTCACACGTCACACATGGTATCTTAATCACCATGCCAAATGCCCATCTTCAATTGAATTGTTGGTAAACTGTGCCTGTCATATTCTTACCTTTTCAATATCTGTTCTTTAGTGAGTTCCATTTTTAATCCTAATATTTACTGTGCCTTTTCTTTTAAGGAAATTTTTTAACATATTTGAAAGGCAGAGTTAGAAAGAGAAAGATACGATTCCCTTGCTTTGGTTCACTCTAAATGCCTGCCACAGCCAGTGCCAGCCCAGGCCAAGCCCAGGAGCCTGCAACTCCATCCACTTGGGCCATCTTCCACTGCTTTCAGAGGCACGTTAGCAGGGAATTGGATAGGAAATAGAGCAGCTGGGACTCAAAGTGATGTTCATGTGGGATGCTTTAATTTAAGTTTTATCTCACAGTTATGTCTGTATAGGAAAAACACACTATGAATATAGCATTTAGCACTATATGAGGTGTCAGACATTCATCATGGAATGTAGCTTCCAGGGGTAGCTTACTGTAAACATCACCCTTACATACTCCAAGACATCTTTTCCAAAATTCTGTGTTAGGCTAGAGAACACCCAACTCATAAATTTAAAGAAAACTTTATTGTATATCTTTGTAAAATGGATGTTTTGGAAACATGGGATGGACATCGTGGCACTGAGGGTTTAGCTGCTGCTTAAACTACCTATATCCCATAGTGACATTCTGGTTTGAGTCCTGGCTATTCTACTTCCACTCCATCTTCTGCTAATACAGCCAGGGAAGCAGCAGCTGATGGCACAAGTGCTTGAGTCCCTGTGCCCACCTGTGGGAGGACAGGGAGGATTTCATGCCTTCTGGTGTTGGCCTGGCCAGCCCTATTAGTTTAGGACATTTAAGGACAGAACCAGTGAATGGAAGATCTCTTTCTCCCCTGCTCTTTCTCTATCACTTTGCCTTTCAAGGAAAAGAAAATAAACAAACATTTGGCCTGGCACAGTGGCCTAGCAGCTAAAGTCCTTGCCTTGAATGTGCTGGGATCCCATATGGGCACCAGTTCTAATCCCGGCAGCCCTGCTTCCCATCTGACACCCTGCTTGTGGCCTGGGAAAGCAGTCGAGGACCTCCCAGTGCCTTGGGACCCTGCACCCACATAGGAGACCTGGAGGAAGTTCCTGGCTCCTGGCTTCAGATTGGTGCAGCATGAGCTGTTGTGGTTACTTGGGGAGTGAATCATCGGATGGAAGATCCTCCTCTCTGTCTCTCATCCTCTCTGTAAATCTGCCTTTCCAATAAAAATTAAAAAAAAAAGAAAAGAAACAAACATTAAAATATAGGAATGTATGAAAAGGTTTAAGAGTACCTTATCACATGAAAATACTTTAAAACATTATTTGCTTTTATTTTAAATGCAGATTTACAGTGAGGAGAGGCAGAGATCTTCCACCCACTGGTTCACTTTCCAAATGGCTGCAGCATCTGGAGCTGGGCTGGTCTGAAGCCAGAAACCTGGCGCTTCTTCCAGGTCTCCCATTTGGATGCAGGGCCCCAAGGACTTGAACCACTTGTTGCTGTTTTCCCAGACAAATTAGCAGGGAACTAGACTGGAAGTGCAGCTTCTGGGACTTAAACTGACACCCATATGGGATGCTGGGACCACAGGTAAAAGTTTTACCTATTACAGGAGTGTAAGTAAGCAAAGATTTAAAGTTTGATATAGTACCTGTCTGTTGTTCCTTGAATGTATTCTGGTGTTTTGGAAAGTCATGTAAATTTTTATTTTATTTGAAAGGCAGACAGAAGGAGATTCTCCATTTGCTATCACTTCCCAGATGCACAGCACAGCCAGGTTTGGGTCATGCCCAAAGCTTATTCGTTCTAGGTAATCTGTCATGGGCGTCAGTGGCATCATCACTGCCTCCTGGATTGTATATTAGCAGGAAGCTGGGTCAGAAGTAGCTGGGACTCAAGCCAGCATTCTTTTTTTTTTTTTTAAAGATTTATTTTTATTATTTTTTCATTGGAAAGGCGGATATACAGCGAGGAGAGACAGAGAGGAAGATCTTCCGTCTGATGATTCACTCCCCAAGTGAGCGCAACGGGCCAATACTATGCCGATCCGAAGCCAGGAGCCTCTTGCGGGTCTCCCACGCAGGTGCAGGGTCCCAAAGCTTTGGGCCGTCCTCGACTGCTTTCCCAGGCCACAGGCAGGGAGCTGGAAGGGAAGCGGGGCTGCCGGGATTAGAACCGGCGCCCATATGGGATCCCGGGCGTGCAAGGCGAGGACCTTTAACCACTTGCGCCACCGCGCCGGGCCCACGCCAGCATTCTTGAAACACTCCATCATGTGCCGATCCTTGACCAAGACACTTAATAAAAATGTTCCTTTTCTTTCCTGTATAGAATAGAAATATTTTACCTAAATGGTACAGTAAGAAACCACATTAGGAGGAGAGATTTCTGTAGCACAAAACGTCCCATAAAAATGCTAAGTGGTCTGTGCCAGTGTTGTGGCAAAGCAGAGGTAAAATAGACACCTGTAACACTAGCATCCCATATGGGTGCTGGTTCGTGTCCCAGCTGCTCCACTTCTGATGTAGCCCCTGCTAATGGCCCTGGAAAGCAGCAGCAGATGGCCTGAGTGTTTGGGAACCTGCTACTCATTTGGAAGACCCACATGAAGACCCTTGGTTTTAGCTTGGCCCATCCCTGACCGTTGCAGCCATCTGAGGATTGATCCAGCAGATAAAAGATTCTCTCTCTCTCTCTCTGTTTCTGTCTCTGTCTTTCTCTGCAATTCTTTCAAATAAATGCAATAAAAATCTTTTATAAATGCTAAATGCTGGGGCTAGTGTTAAGACATAGCAGATTAAGCTACTGATTGGTATTTCTGCCTTCTGTGTTGGAGTGTTGGATTGAGGCCTGGAGTCCCCGGACTCTTCTGCCAATCTTGCATCCTGCTTGTGCACCTAGTAGGCAGCAAATGATGGTCCTGTTACCTACATGGGAAACCCAGATGGAGTTCCTGGCTGTCGGGTTTGGCCTGTTCTATCCTCAGCTGACTGCAGCCATTTGGGAAGTAAATCAGCAGATGAATAGTCTGCCTGCCTGTCTTGTCTTGTCTTTCCTTTTTTCTTTTCTTTCCTTTCTCCCTCCCTCCTTCCTTCCCTTCTTCCTGTCTTCTCATTCCCTTTGCATTTTCCTCCCCCCCCACTCTAGTCACTCTGCCTTAAATAAATAAATAAATAAATAAATAAATAAATAAATAAATATTTTTAAAAGATGCTAGCTGGAGTACTGTGTTGTGGCACAGTAGGTTAAGCTGCATCCTGCAATCCCAGCATCCTTATGGGCACTTGTTCTAGTCTCAGATGCTTTATTTCAATCAGGCTCCCTGCTAATGTGCCTGGGAGCGTAACAGAAGATGGCCCAAGTGTCTGGGTCCTGGCACCTAAGAGACCTAGATGGAATTTCTGGCACTTGTCCCCAGCTGTTGTGGCCATTTGGAAAGTGAACCAGCAGATGGAAAATTTGTCTTTCTCTATAAATCCCTTTTAAGTGAATAAATGACTGCTTTTTTAAAACAATGTACAGTTTTGATTGATCAAGTATTTAAACTCTTTTAGCTATTAAATAGAAGAAAATGGAATTGAAGATGTCAGCATGGAACAGTGTAATGATTCATTACAAGTCAGTAACAATGTTGAAGATGCAAAAACGGATGTCCAAGAATTTGAGGTAGGGATTTGCTTGGGAACCCTTTTTCTGTTCTAGAGAAAAGCAGCAAGCCATTCAATAGCTTTTTGTGCTGTAACAATTGCTTTTATATTTAATGATTTAAGAATTTAATAATCATTTACATGTTCCATCAAATATTTAATTTTATAGTACAGAGTTTTAAAGTGATGCTCAGGTGTATTAATACAAGTTTGCATACAAAGAAAAATGTATCTTGAATTATACGTCATTATTTCAGGCTGCATTCTATTTTTGATAAAATTAAGATTATAAAATAAAAATCAGTAATGCCACTTAAAAGCCTTCTGAATGAGAAATGGTGACTCTTAGAAAAAGTGAAATGAATGATTAGCTATAAAATAAATATCTTTATGATAACAAGCTCTATTAGAATATGTCTTATAAAAACTGCAGTGATTTTTTTTTTCTTTGCAAAAGCAGCTAGCTTGCATGGACCCTGGGACACCTTCCTTTGGACACAATGATCCTCCTACAGCTTTGCCCATCACCACTCCTGAGACAGGTGGTTCTGCTGCAGCACAGCCTGTCCCTGGGCCCCTGGCCCAGACACAGGCTCTCTGTGCAGATGACTTCCATCTAGTGGACCAAAACGGTCAACCTGTTCAGTACGAACTTCAGTCATCAGGAGATTCTAATGCACAAATGGTGAGTACATCTAATGAAATAACCACTTTTATGCTATTTTTAGCAAAACATATTTTAGCTTTTGTAGACAACCTTAACTTCTTAACATCAGTTATTGCATTAATTATTGGCTTCCAGTGTGTTGAAAATATTGTCTCCATGACCTTTACATAAAGGTTTTAAAAGATTTATCTATTAGAAATACAAATAATAATATTCTTAGCCACTTATGCCTAGGTACATTAGTGTCTTGAGATCAGTTGAAACTATAGCATAATCCCAAGTGCTCAAGTGTGGAACTTTACATGTAATTTAGACTGAATGATAAGTTGCTGATTTATCAACATATCAGTCCTGACTTGTCTGTGAAATGCTAGTATGTCTTCTTAAATAAAAAGCAAAAGGGCACTCCTGGTATACTGAGAATTAGACATACACTTCTTGATCTTTGTAGTGAATATGCCTGTATCATATGAAAACAATGCATAAAAATGAAAAAAGAATGCTGCTTTAAACTGTAGGCTAAAAATATTTTTGTCCAAGTTTATGGGCTAGATGAGTGTTGTGGTGCGGCAGGTTTAAGTCTCTGCCTGTGACATCAGCATCTGTATTGGAGTGCTCATTCAAATCCTGGCTCTGTACTTTCAATCCAGCTTCCTTCCAGTGCGCCTGGAAAAGCAGTAGAGAGTGGTCCAGTACACAGGCCCTTACCACCTGCTGAGGTGAACCAGATGTATTTCCAGACTCTTTAACTTCAGCAAGGTCCAGCCCCAGTCATTGTGGCCGTTTATGAAGTGAACCTGTGGACAGAAGATCTCTCTTTCTATGACTATCCCCTGAACCCTTTGTCACTGTGCCTTTCAAATAAAGAAATAAAGTTAAAATCTTCTTAAAAATAATGAAAATTACTTGTGAATAATAATATACCTATGTAAGTATGTACAACAATCATATTTAACTAATACCATAGAAAATTATTTTAGTTTTTAAATTTCTATTTGCCATAGAAGAGTAGTTGTTTTTCCTGGGGAAAAAAAAATCTTTGTTTCTATTTCCAGTCTTAAGTGTTCTAGAATTTCCCCGTGCTATGTTGCTGCATTATGATACAGTTGTTTTGAGTTACCAAGATTCTGGGATTCAGTGTAATTGGTTGAAAAGTGGCTAAGTGCAGAGCAGTCTCTTCGGTTTATATTCAGGCTCAACATATTTCTGGGTCTGGATTGAAAAACAAAGAAAAACGGTAAGCTACTGTGACCATGTTGCACCAACAGAGGTTACTGTGCAATGGAAAATCTAGATGTGAACAAACTGAATTTACTTTTGAATGTCCAAGATTAAATGCTCCTGTAGTTTTTCCTAATATTTGGCATTTGTTATGGATTCCTGACAGAACAGTGCAAGTACTCCATTGGGGCTGCCACTGCAGCATAGCTGGTAAACCACCTGCAACATTAGCATCCCATTTGAGGAACAGTCTGTCCCAGCCATTCCACTTTTCATCCAGCTCCCTTCTGGTGGTCTGGGAAAAGCAGTGGAGAGATGGCCCAAGCGCTTGGCACCTGCTACCCATGTTGGAGGCCTGAATAAAGCTCCTAGCTTCAGCCCATCCCAGCCCCAGCCAATATGACCATCTGGGGAGTGAATCATCTGGGGTTGGAAGATCGCTCTTCCTGTCTCTCTGTAACTATGACTGTCAAATAAGTAAATAAATAAAGTAGTAAAGTCTGTATGTTCTGACAAAGAATCAGGGAATCTAGATGTGTGAAGGGCAATAATCTTACATTTTTTTAACTTAAAAACAAAGTTGATATTTTGAGAAAAAAGTTGGTTACTATTGTCATTGTAATTGGATTGAGCATTTAATATAAATTCATTATAAAGATATTGAAGTAGGAAGTGGCTCAGAGAGTTTTTTGAAGAAATATGTACTATGAAGCTTAGAAATAAATTGAACAAACTGGGGCCCAGCACAAGTAGCCTAGTGGCTAGATCCTTGGCTTGCATCCCATACGGGCACTGGCTGCTCCACTTCCCTTCCAGCTATCTGCTTGTGGCTTGGGAAAGCAGTCGAAGACGGCTCAATGCAGCAACAGCAGGGGCTGAACCAGGCCAAAGTCAGGAAACCCAAGTTTCCTCTGAGTCTCCCACATGGATGCAGGGACCCAAGCACTTGGGCCATCTTCTGTTGCCTTGCCAGGCTATCAATAAGGAACAGAATCAGAAGTACATAAGCTCATACTGGAACTGGCACTTGTATGGGGTGCTGGCAATGCTTAACTTGCTACCCACGCACTGGCCCCTGGAAGCAATTTTTATGTGCCTTGATGCTTTCATCTGTAAAATGGGAAAAGTAATCATATTAACTCTGAATAGGTATGTGTTTAATAGTTTGCTTAATAGTCTGTAAAATCAGCATAGATGTATGCATTTGGTTTTCTTTTAATGCTCCCAAGATGCTTGTTGCCAGCCCATCAGAAAATGGACAGGTGCTTCGTGTGGTTCCATCTAGCCCATCAGGCATGGCGCAGGTGATTATACCTCAGAGACAGCTTGTGGACGTGAACAGTCCTCGGGGTGAGTACTAGTGGGATGTAAACAAGGCTTGCTAGTGTCTGAGGAAAGAAATGCACATTTCAGAGAATCACTGCTGAAACTGATTTCTTTACGGTGACTGTAGACTAATTAGAAAAGTTCCTTAGGCCAAATAACTTTTAAGTTCATTTTTCAACTCCTATTTAGGTTAGCTGTCTGTTTCATTTTGGAATTCTGTGAAGCTGGTTGACTCCTGCTTCCTCCCAAATGACCAGTGAGCATAAAATAAATTATTCTTGATTATAATAGCAGTAATAATAAAAATGGCAAGCATAGCAACCATATGTACTAATAGCCTCAGAAGTTTGTTACGTCTGTATTTTCATCAGTTGTGTTAGCCATGTGACTCACTACATTTGTTAACTATCCTTTTGATTCACTTGCTCTTTCCCCATTTCCTTTGTCCCTCCAGATGGAGAAAGGAGATACATATTTCCCGTTTCTTTTTATATACTACCTACCTGCTTTGTACACTCTATTTAACTTCCTTGTGTTTTCCTCCCTTTTCCATCTATTTGTTTCTTTTCTCCAACATAATTGCCAAAATGATTTACTTTTTGCTCTTTCATAACCAATGATTTGAAATAGATATTTTTATCTTAGTGTTTAGATTCTTTGTCATGGTTAATAATGATTAAAACTTAAGAAAAAGATATATTCTGCAGAAAACATCGTAAACATTGTCTACAGAGTTTCACATCATCCTATTGTGAAATTCTTAATTTATTTTTAAGTCTTTGCCATTCAATGTAAGTTCCAAAAGCATAATTTACATAATTATTCTACTAGTTATAATTTGAAAGTAGAAAAGTTTATCACAGCAGTTCTCAGTATTGCATTATAAGCTTTGTTATCTTCAGCTTCAAAACCATTCTTCCATTTCTTAGTACAAATATACAAGTTCGGTTAGATGTGTTTTTGTTTTGTTATTCAAGGCTCTGATTTGGCTTTGTTTTTGTTCCTGTTCTTCTGGTTAAGACATCCCTGAGGAGAAACACAGCGACAGAAGCTTACCCACTGTAGGAGTGGATGCCCTAGCAGACGATGCCAGTTACGTCCTTCCTCCACAGGCAACTCTCCCAATGCCCAAAAAGTCGGGGGCCAGGTGAGTCAGCAGGAAGGGGGGTTCCATCTTTTGATATCACCATCAGTATTCTTATCTAAAGCTCTCCAACTATAGAAGAGGGCAAAATTTTAGAAAATAGAACAAACTGTCAACAAATATAACTTTGTCTTGTTTTAAAGATTTGCTTTATTATTTGAAAATTATGGTTGACAGAAAGAAAATGAGAGACAGAAAGTGAAAGAGCATCATCTGCTGGTTCACTCCCCAAATGGCTGCAATGGTGTGGTCTGGACCAGGCCATAGCCAGAACCTAGAATCCCATCCAGATTTCCCACCTGGCTGACAATGACCCAAGCACTTGAGCCATCATCTCCTAAATCCTCACCTTGCATGTGCCGGTATTCCATATGGGCACCGGTTCTAATCCCAGCTGCTCCACCTCCCATCCAGCTCCATTCTTGTGGCCTGCGAAAGCAGTCAAGGATGACCCAAAGCATTGCGATCCTGCACCTGCAAGGAAGAAGCTCCTGGCTCGTGGCTTCGGATCAACTCAGCTCAGGCTGTTACAGCCACTTGGGGAGTGAACCAGTGGATGGAAGATCTTTCTGTCTTTTCTTCTCTCTGTAAATCTGCCTTTCCAATAAAAAATTAAAATAAATCTTAAAAAAAAAAAACACCACAACAGCAGCTGAGTTTTGAACTGGTGTTGTTATGAGATGACATTGTCACAGGAGGCTGTCCAGTCCACTGTGTCACAATGGTGGTCCCGCCCATCTTCAGTTATTTTAGTGTTGTTGATCAGGAGGCTGCTCCAGAAGCTACTAATGTCAAAATGTTAATTTTTCAAGTGGCAATGAAGTATGCAATTTTTGTTAGCCATGTGACTATTTTGAACCCAATATGAAATTTTTAACACCAAAAGAGTTTTTAGAACAAAAGCATGCCTATACCAGTTACTAAATTTTTTATGATTTCATAATGCTTTTATGCCCATAATTACTTTGTAATAAAAGTGATGGATAGAAGATTGTATGTGTTGTTGAGTGTGAGAAATTTTCCCCATCAAGTAATAAACAAATGCATTTTTAAAAATGTTTTTTTTTTTAGCAATGTCTATTAAGTTTTTATTTTGACTTTAAGTTATAATGCTGATCATTTATGGACATATGTACTCTATTTGCATGTAATTTATTTTTGAATTGTTCCACAAAAGTATTTTCAAATTAAGATAATATTTGACATTTGGTCTTAGAATTTATATAATGTTACCCTTAAGTTGCCTAAAGGTGTTTTTATAGCTCATTTTAAAAATTTACTTATGGACCCTGCGTGGTAGCCTAGTGGCTAAAGTCTTCACCTTGCATGCACTGCAATCCCATATGGGTGCCGGTTCTAATCCCAACAGCCCCACTTCCTATCCAGCTTCCTGCTTGTGGCCTGGGAAAGCAGTTGAGGATGGCCCAGAACCTTGGGATCCTGCACCTATGCAGGAGACCTTAAAGAGGCTCCAGGCTCCTGGCTTCGAATCAGCTCAGCTCTGTCCGTTGCAGCCTCTTGGGGGAGTAAATCAACAGACAGAAGATCTTTCTCTCTCTCCTCCTCTCTGTATATCTGACTTTCCCATGACAATAAAATAAATCTTTTTAAAAAGTTTATTTAAAATAAAATAAATATTCTTACTTACCTGAAAGACAGTGTGACACAGAGACAGGCAAACAGAGCTGCTAGTTGATTGCCCAGATGTGCAAAGCAGCTGAGATGGTTCTGGCCAAGGCCGCAAGTGGGGACTGTAATCTAAGTATTCCCACACGCTTGGCGGGCATCTTATTACCTAAGTCATCCCTGCTACCTCACAGGGTCGGCACTGGCAGGAATTTGTGAGAATGTCAGCTCCAGTAGGAATCAGGAACCTGAGCTGGGAACCATACCCACTTTAGTTTTTTGATAAATGGAAGATAATCATGTAATAATAGTACACATAATTTGGGGAGAGAGAGTTCAGTTGCTTCTGACTACAGGTACCTTCAAGAAACAAATTAGGCCTTCAATTTCACAGTTAATTAAAGAAAATTATCATCAAGTTAAACTATAACAATATAATTATTGTTAAAATTTCTTATTGGTGATGTCGGTATATTGTCTTTGACATTGATTAAGAGGATAAAGCAATTGAATGAATACCTTTTGTGTGTATGTGTGGAGTGATGTTTTAAATATTTTCCTCCCCTATTCCAGAATACTTGAAGAACCTTTTTTGGCTCCTCTTCAGCCACTTTCTTCTAATACACCTATCTGGGCCTGTCGTCTTAGGAGCTGTGAGGTGAAGTAAAAATAATCTTTGTCTAGAATAATATAATTGGGTATCATAATTCATCCCCAAAGACCGCTTTTGAGTATAATGAATAGACTGTATCTGTAAAAGTTTGTGTCTTACTGAATCTGATCCCAATTTTATTCTTTAGAGAATAAAAGCTCTCTTAGAGCACAGGTCACATAAATTTCTTCACTTATCACTATTGTTTCTTCTCTTGCAACTTTTTTCCTTATTTGAAGCTTCACTGTTGTGCTTCTCTACTTTTTTCCCCTCGACATTTGTACTTCTTATATGCTTGCTCTTTTTGTATTCTGAGTATAAGTTTTTTGGGGCAAGATTTATTTCTAAGAAAAGCAGAGTTACAGAAAGGAAGAGAGAGCTTTCATCTATTGGTTTGCTCTGCAAATTGCCACAAAATCTCGTGCTGGGTGAGACAAAGATGAGGAAGCTGGAATTCCATCTGGGTCTCCCATGTGAGTGGCAGAGTGCAAGCACTTGGATCATCTTCTGCTACCCTCCCAGATGCATTAGCAAGGAATTGGATCTGGCGTAGGGAAGGATAAGAACCTCTGCTCAGATGGGATCCTAGCCTCTGGGCCATAATGCTGGCCTCCTCAACAGAACATTTTTTTGACATTTGTCTTTTACTACATTTTATCTCTTTGATGGCTTACCTACTTTGTAAACTTTCAACTCTCATATTTATAAAACTAATTTCACCGTTAATGTCACCACTTTGTTAATTCTGCCCTTACTCTTGTCTCAGGTATCATTCCTTGAAGATTTGTTTGACTTTCACATCAAATTTACAGTATCCAGAAGCCAGCATTGTGGCATAGCAGGTTTTGCCACTACTTGTGGACCCTGGTTCAAGTCCTGGCTGCTAATTTTCCAATACAGATCCCTGCTAATTCACCATGGAAAGCAGTAGAAATGGTCCAAGTGCTTGGATCTCTGCACGTACCTGGGAGACCCTGATGAAACTGGACCCAGGACATTGTAGCCATTTAGGTAATGAGATAGTGGATGAAGTTCACTTCTCCCCCTGCCCCCTTTTCTATCTTTAAAATATAGCAAATAAATGTTTCAAAAACTATACCATAATTAGCTCCACTTCTTGAATTCTTTGTCTGCATAGTGACAAATGCAATTTTATCACACACCACAAAATTTTAAGCTAATTTTTTCCTTTGCTACATTTAAATAATCACGTGAATGATTTTGTTTGTTATTTAAAGTATTACTCCTCTTTTTTTTTTTTTCTTGACCCCTTTTCAATTCTTTAGCCTTTTTAAAAAAGGCTTATGCTTAATTACGATAATAGCTTTCCCTCTAATCTCTTTAATTCTTCCATTTCTGGTCCCTAATGTGTATTTTTCTAAAGCAACTTTTCAGTAGACGTGGCTTTCACCATCTTTTTTGCATCACCCTTTTGTTTTCTATTTTATTTCCAACTTTGATCTGACTTGGCTTTCCTTCTTAACATAATCTTAATTTCTAAAAGCATTCAATGGTCGGTCGGTCTTTCTTTCTTTTTTATTCTGTCTTTACTGTATTTCAAATCCTAATGCTTTCCCCATGTATCTTTTCTATGAATTGGTTAATGATGATTTTACCTGATACCTATTTTTCTCCTTATTTTGTTTTTTTTTTATTTTAATTGGGAATTTTATTTTATTGGAAAGGCAAATCTACAAAGAAAAGGACAGGCAGAGACAACGATCTTCTATCCATTGGTTCACTCCCCATTTGGGGAACCAATCTAAAGCCAGGAACCAGCAACTGCTTCCGGGTCTCCCATGTGGATACAGGGTCCCAGGTTTTTGGGCCATCCTCCACTGCTTTCCCAGGCCATTAGCAGGGAGCTGAATGGGAAGTGGAATGGCTGGGGCTCAAACCAGTATTTATATGGGATCCTGGTACTTACAGACAGATGATTTAAGCATCGAGCCATATTATTGGCCCCCTGTTTTATAATTCTTAATTATTTACTAACTTAAGAGGTTTTTCTTTTTTTTTTTTTTTTTGGACTCTCCAATTAGTCTTTTGAGGGAATTGATCATGCCTCATCTGTGTCTAAACCACTGATTATAATAAGTATTTATTAAAATGCTTCATTGTTCTAAACAGATCTTAAAATGCAGAGAATATTTTTGTTTTAATATTTTTTATGATTTATTTGAAAGGCAGTGTTACATACAAAGGGAGAGACAGAGCAACATTTTCCATCGGCTGCTTCACTCCCCCGATGACCGCAACAGCCGGGGCTGGACCAGATCGAAATCAGGAACTTCTTCCTAGTCTCCCACATGGATGTAGGGACCTAGCACTTGGGGCATACTTTGCTGCTTTCCTGGGTACATTAGCAGGGAGCTGGATTGGAAGTGGGGCACCTGGGAGTGGAACCAGTGCTCATATCGATAACAAGGTTACAAGCAATGGCTATACCTGCTACACCACAATGCCAACCTCTCAGTTTAATATTTTAACAAAATTACAAATAGTAAGTTTTGTGATGTGCTTTCTTGCATTTTTGAAGATATTATCAGTGTTGTGGCTCATCTGAGTTGTATATCCATATACATATATATCTATGTAAATATGTACCTCCATCACTTTTTGTTAGTCCTAGTTTGCAGTGGTTTCCTAAGGTGGTTGTGCTTCCTGTTATTTTTTTTTTAAATCACCATAAACTTCAAAGAATGCTGTGGATATTAGAATCGAATCATGTGGTCCCAACACCTTATTTTGTAACTTGATCTTTATGTGGCTTACCTAAAATATATCTTGCACAAAACTGATTAAAACTGTCCTGGGACTGGCACAATAGCATAGTGGTTAAAGACCTTGCCTTGAACGTGCCAGGATCCCATATGGGTACTGGTTCTAATCCCGGCAGCCCCACTTCCCATCCAGCTCCCTGCCTGTGGCCCTGGAAGGCAGTTGAGGATGGCCCAAGGCCTTGGGACCCTGCACCAGTGTGGGAGAAGATCTTCTTCTGTCTCTCCTTTTCTCTGTATACCTGCCTTTTCAATAGAAATAAGTAAATCTTTTTTAAAAAATTGTCCTATAGACTGAATAATCTCTCCCAGTGAGATTTTTTTTTTCTATTCCAAGCTATATCAGTAATGAAAAACCTAAGTAACTTTTGCTGAATAACTGCAGAATATTTTCTGCATTTTTGCTCCATAATATTGTATAATAGCTCTTTCATTTTAGTATATCTCATTTAATAACTTCATATTTTTTCTGCTTCGGCTAGAGTATTAATTGAGGAAATGTCAATAATCTATTAAACGTTTGTCTATAGGCTTTCTCTAGGCTTGCTTATATTATAAATATTCTGCTACACCACAGAATTTATTGACATTATTCATTCATTTTATTTTATATAAAAGTAGTGCAAGTAAACTTTATCTCCCTATTTTTATTAGTAGTAGATATTTTGATAAAGAAATATCTAGGCAAGAATAATATTTATAAGCAATCATCTATTAGGGGAAATTGATTTTTAAAAAAGGTTTATTGGGCCCGGCGCGGTGGCACAAGTGGTTAAAGGTCCTCGCCTTGCACACCCGGGATCCCATATGGGCGCCGGTTCTAACCCCGGCAGCCCTGCTTCCCTTCCAGCTCCCTGCCTGTGGCCCGGGAAAGCAGTCAAGGACGGCCCAAAGCTTTGGGACCCTGCACCCGCGTGGGAGACCCGGAAGAGGCTCCTGGCTTCGGATCGGCATAGTATCGGCCCGTTGTGGCTCACTTGGGGAGTGAATCATCGGACGGAAGATCTTCCTCTCTGTCTCTCCTCGCTGTATATCCGCCTTTCCAATAAAAAAATAATAAAAATAAATCTTTAAAAAAAAAAAAAAGGTTTATTTTATTTTATTGGAAAGGCAGATTTACAGAGAGAGTAGGAGATACAAAAAAGAAAGATCTTCCATCTACTGGTTCACTTACCAGGTGGCCACCGCAAATAGAGCTGAGCCAATTTGAAGCCAGGAGCCTCTTCTGGGTCTTCCACGCAGGTGCAGGGTCCCTTGCATCCTGTTACTGCTTTGCTAGACCACAATCAGGAAGCTGAACTGGTACCCGTAAAGGATCCCGCTGCATGCTAGGCAAGGATTTAGCCACTGAGTCATCATGCTGGTACCCTTTTAGAAGAAATTGTATTTATGCTTTGCCATGTTTGAGAAAAAAATATACAATAGCTTACAAAAAATATATAAGGTATACTAGAAAGACAGATATTAAGAGTGGGAACTAAAGAACAAGAATGAGAATGTAAAATAACCATAAGAAAACAGCAGGGACATGAACTGTCACCCAAATGGGATCCCAGTGTTTGCAATATGTAGTTTTAGCCACCAAGCCATTGCGCTGAGCCCTCCAACCCAGATTCTTTTTTAAAGATCATTTTTATTGGAAAGGAAGATTTGCAGAGAGGAGGAGAGGCAAAAAAAGATCTTCCATCTGCTGGCTCACTCCCCAGGTGGCCACAATGGCCAACGCTAAGCCAATCAGAAGCCAGGAGGCAGGAGATTCTTCTGGCTCTCCCATGGAGGGGCAGGGTCCCAAGGCTTTGGGTTATCCTCTAGTGCTTTCCCAGTAGGGACATGAACCAATGCCCATATGGGAGATTCTGGTGGTTGCACGGTGAGGATTTGGCCGCTGAGCAACATGCTGGGTCCTTTAACCCCTATTGTTTGGGGTTGCTGAGGGATGCAGCTTCATTTCCTCTTCTGTAGCTACTTTCTGTTTATTAGGGGTGTAAGCATTACTTCTCCTGGGTTTGGAAATATCTCCCTGTCTCATCTACTGGATCCTTTTCACAAGCCATAGAAAGCGTAGCTGCTGCCAGTGGTTGTGTCCCCTGCATCGCATGCACACACACCTGCTGCAGTCTAAGTATATACATTTCAAAAGGGAAATTCTGAGCTCAGTGCGATGGCTCAGTGGCTAAATTCTCTCCTTGCAGGTGCCAGGATCCCATATGGGCATCAATTCATGTCCCAGTGGCCCTGCTTCCCATCCAGCTCCCTGCTTATGGTCTGGGAAAGCTGTAGAGGATAGCATAATGCCTCAGGACTCTGCTCTCACATGCAAGACTGGAGGAGTTGCTCCTGGCTCCTGAGTTTGGGTCATCTCCTCTCCAGCCATTGTGACTACTTGGAGAGTTAACCAGCAGATGGAAGATCTTTCTATCTCACCTTTTCTCTATAGTTCTGTCTTTCCAATTAAAAAAAAAAAAAAAATAGGGCCCAGTGCCGTGGCCTAGCGGCTAAAAGTCCTCTCCTTGAACGCTCCGGGATCCCCTGTGAGTACTGGTTCTAATCCCAGCAGCTCCACTTCCTGTCCAGCTCCCTGCCTGTGGCCTGGGAAAGCAGTCGAGGACGGCCCAAAGCTTTGGGACCCTGCACCCGCATGGGAGACCTGGAAGAGATTTCTGGTTCTCAGCTTTGGATCTGTGCAGCACTGGCCATTGCGGTCACTTGGGGAGTGAATCATTGGATGGAGGATCTTCCCCTCTGTCTCTCCTCCTCTCTGTATATCTGACTTTCCAATAAAAATAAATAAATCTTTAAAAAATAATAATTTATATATATATATGTATGTGAAAATGGAAATCCTATTTGGTAACTAAGTTGTGTGCCCATTAAATAAGAGAAATTAATGTTTGCTTCCTGAAAGAATTGAATAAATTTTCATTTTTTAAAGTGAGGTAAAAAGCAAACTCATTGTTTGTATGAACTCCAGACCGGATTTCCTCTTAAAGAAGAGCCATCATTAAAAGTATCTATTTAATCAGTCAACTCTTTTATAACATTTTTATGAGATATAATCACAGTTTTCATAGAGTTCAAGAAGGCTCATGGCATTGTATCAAACTGTCTCAGCTCCAAGAAGCCCAGTGAGAACTAGTACTTTGGCTAATTTTATTACTGATCTGAAAATATTCCAAGGATAGAATTTTTAATATCTCGAAATATGGATGCACTAAATGTTCTTGGAGTTATCCTCTTAAAAATTGTTTCTGTCAAGGGCCCGGCGCGGTGGCGCAAGTGGTTAAAGGTCTTCGCCTTGCACGCCCGGGATCCCATATGGGCGCCGGTTCTAATCCCGGCAGCCCCGCTTCCCTTCCAGCTCCCTGCCTGTGCCGGAAGATCTTCCCCTCTGTCTCTCCTCTCTGTATATCCGCCTTTCAATAAAAAAATAATAAAAATAAATCTTTAAAAAAAATTGTTTCTGTCAAACAAAATTTTGACAAAGCTAGATTATCAAGCTAGAGTTTGGTATTCACATTTCTTTAAAAGATACCTGGAGAACATCTATTTTATGATAATGGTTGAACTGAAATATCAAACCTACTGGTAGTGATAGACCAGTGATCTGATGGAATGATTTGTCCTCTTGTGAAAGCTGTTGAGTCTTTTTCTTGGACAGACATTTCATTAAATCTACTATGCAGTGAAGGATACTTGCTAATAATTTTTTAAATTTTATCATCTGCAGAAAATTGGAGATTCATACCGTGGCTACTGTGTAAGTGAGACTGAATTAGAAAGTGTCCTAACATTTCACAAGCAGCAAACTCAAAGTGTCTGGGGGACCCGCCAGTCTCCAAGCCCAGCCAAGCCTGCTACACGCTTGATGTGGAAATCCCAGTATGTCCCCTATGATGGAATCCCATTTGTCAATGCAGGTACTTTCTAAAGAAACATTTTAAAAGATTCAGCAGAAACCATAGTTCGTAGTGCAAAGTGTTTATTTTTTATCTTAAAATGATATGTTTTCATTTTAGTAAATAACAACTGGCTGTTAATTGTGAAATTTTATATTAAAAAGAAAATTTATGGCAAATATAATTAATTTATAAAACTAGGTTTTTCAGCGTATCAAAGTGAATCTGTAATACATTGATTATTATGCTGATAAATAGAAAACAAAAATATGTAAATTTAAATGAATCTAATTAAATATAAAAGGGGAAAACATTTTTAAAATATGTGTATCTGCTGTGATTTTTACCTCTCCCACCTGCTTTCTAATCTCCTTCCATCTTAATCTGTTTTGTGAAACAAATTTGTGTCCGTTTTATGTAGCTGGTAACTCTGGAGATACTGTGCAGAGTTTGTATTTGGTCAGGAGTTAATATATAGGATGCTGATGTTAAAGTTCTCAAGAATTGTATAAATTACCTATAGTATACCTACACACTGGTTTAGTGTTTACTGAGACAGTCGTGTCTCAAGCAGAACCCAGAAAATATTACCTTTAGACTAGTCAGACGCCGGAGAACCTACAAGTGATTGATGTAGTTTGTTCCAGAACTGTTGGGGAACTAATCTAGCTGGAAAAGTATCTGGTACTCTCAGTTGTGCACCTCTGAGGTTAACAAGAAGCAGTTTTGGGGGGGTGGGGGTGGATGTCAAGCTTATTTAAAAGGTGAGGAAATCACAGAAACTCCTTTAAGGATAAAGTGAACAGAGAGGGAAAATGTGTCAGATATTCCTACTGTGATCGTGTGTCCATGTAGAAAGAAAGGGCACCTGTACCCATTGCCAGGCTTCTCGTGAACCTCATAGTTACAAGGTACTGCCCTCCAGTCCTGGGTGAAGGGGTCATTTGATTGACAAGTAGGCAGACAGCATTACTTAGGACAAGGGAGTATAGCTTCCAGTTTATGAGTTTCAGCTTGCAACCTGCCTGTGCTGTTTCATTCTCTCCTGAGATTGCTGGCCCTTAGTCTTTTTTTTTTTTTTTAAGATTTATTTATTTATTTATTTATTTATTTATTTATTTATTTATTTATTGGAAAGTCAGATATTCGGAGAGGAGGAGCGACAGAGAAAGATCTTCTGCCCAATGATTCACTCCCCAAGTGAGCGCAACGGCCGATGCTATGCTGATCCGAAGCCAGGATCCAGGAACTTCTTCCGGGTATCCCACACAGGTGCAGGGTCCCAAGGCCTTGGGCCGTCCTTGACTGTTTTCCCAGGCCACAAGCAGGGAGCTGGATAGGAAGTGGAACTGCCGGGATTAGAACTGGCACCCATATGGGATCCTGGCATGTTCAAGGCAAGGACTTTTAGCCGCTAGGCCACACCGCCAGGCCCTGACCCTTAGTCTTTTTAAATTAATTTTGTTTTTGATGTTGTTTACATAGTTGACAAAGATGCATGCCCATGAGGACCACTGAGGTCCACTGATTAGGGCAGGGAAGGTTGAGGTATGGAGAAAGGTTGGTGGGACAAATGCTTCCAATTTGCCTTTTCTTCCCTTTTCTCATGATTCTGCCAACCTCTATTCTTAATGCTTACTGAAAGAGGTAGTTTCATGTTAATTCTGTAGCTACTTCCTGTTGATTAGGGAAGGCTGTTATTAGGACTTGCATGTCCTAAATTTGGAAATATCTTCCTATCGCATCTACTGGAGCCTTCTCACAGCCAAAAAAAGTGTAGCTGATGCTGGAGACTGTGTCCCCTGTATTGTCATCACTGTTCCAAAAAATTGCTGGCCTTTTTTTGTCTTTTGAAGTGCGTGCGTTACACGAGCTTCAGTTGACTTGCAGGAGCAGGTTGACTCATACTTTATGTGCACCTGTGCATGATCCTCTCCCCTGCCCAGAAGTGATGGCACTGAACATACGTGATGGCACTGAAAGCACTGTACATTCCCATCACATACCCCAGACACATACCCCAATATATGGTTCCTGAGACCAGAGATGCTGTTACTTCTACGACTAGAAGACATGAAGGCTTCTTGGCATTGCCACAAGCTATCAGTGGGGGGCCCACCCTACAACTCCAAGCTCATGTCCCTGGCCTAGCATGGTTGCAACTACCTAGAACCGTTCGGGTCTCTACTGTGCCCTTCCTAGACCAGTGCAGTGTCGTGTAACAGCCATAGATCCATCGTATATGCAGCTTGTCAAAGGCCATCAGTGCCTCCCCCTCCCCACACACATACCACAGGGTTTTCTGGCTGCTGCTTTTCGTATCCAGCTCCTCACTGAGAAAAGCAGCATAACATGGCCCAAGTGTTTGGGCCACTGCCAACCACGTGAGAGTCCTGGATGAAGCTTCAGTCTCCTGGATTTCTCTGCTTTACCCTGGCCATTGTGGGCATCTGAAGAGTGAACCAGCAGGTGGAAGATTCTTATTCATATTCTCTCTCTCTCTACCTCTCCCTCTCTTTCCCTCCCTCCTCATCTTCTTCCTCTCTCTCTATAGCTCTTTGAAATAAATCTTTTTAATAATGGTTTTTCCCGTCTTGTATTCATATCATGACTTAGCATTGTGAGAGATGTAAAAAAATTATTTTTATTGGAAAGGCAGCATTGCATACAAGAGGAAGGAAAGACAGAAAGATCTTCTGTCCTCTGGTTCCCTCCTCAGATGGCCCTGACGGCTGTTGCTGAACCTGTCCAAAGCCATGAAGAAAGAACTTTTTTTTTTTCAGATTTATTTATGCGGTCTGGCACCGTGGCTGAGTGGCTAAAGTCCTTATCTTGAAAGCTCCAAGATCCCACATGGGCACCAGTTCTAATCGTGGCGGCTCCACTTCCTATCCAGCTCCCTGCTTGTTGCCTGGGAAAGCAGTCAAGGACAACCCAAAGCCTTGGGACCCTGCGCCCATGTGGGAGACCCAGAGGAAGTTCCTGGATCCTGGGTTCGGATCGGCATAGCACTGGCCATTGTGGTCACTTGGGGAGTGAATCATTGGACAGATCTTCTCTGTCTCTCCACCTCTCTGTATATCTGACTTTCCAATTAAAAAAAAAGGTTTGTTAATTTTTTTTTTTGGAAAGTAAGATTTACAAAGAGAAGGATAGACATAGAAGAAAGATCTTCAATTCTTTATTTTTAAAAAATTTTAAAAATTATTTTATTGGAAAGGCATATATACAAAGAGGAGCAGAGAGAGGAAGAAGCTGGGAGCTTCTACCTAGTCTCCCATGTGGGTGCAAGGCCATCCTCTACTGCTTTCCCAGGTCACAAGCAGGATGCTGGATGGGAAGCGGGGTTGTAATTCAGATCCCTGCTGGTACACCTGGGAGAGCAGTGGACAACAGCCCACATGATTGGATCCCTGAACTGTTGTGAGAGACCAGAAAGAAGCTCCTGGCTTTTGTCTGATTCAGCCTTGCCATTTCATACATTTGGGGAATGAACTAGCAGATAGATGGATAAGAATATCTTTCTTTCTCTCTCTCTCTTTCTCTGTAACTCTTTCAAACAGAAAAAGAGAGGCAGAAACAGAAAGAGATATTATCTATCTGCTTTTTTACTTCTCATATGGTCACAAGGCAGGGCATGGGGGTAGTTGACCAGAGCCAGGTGCTTGGAATTCCATCCAGGTCTCCATGTAGGTCTCAGGGACCCAGGAAATTAGGCCATGTTCTGCTGCTTTTCCAAGTTCATTAGCAATGACCTGGCTCTGAAGTAGAACAGCTGAGACTTGAATTGGCATACATAAGGAATGCTGGCATCACAGGCAGTGGCATAACTTGCTAAGCCAAGACCCTGGGCCAAAAAATAAATGTTTAAATGATACTAGTGTTTGTTAACTGAATGAAACATTTGCTCATTGCTGTTTATAAAGTTGATTATTTTAAAACTCCAGGTATCTAAGTATCAGTAAGCATTAGGTAAACATTCGCCTAAAATAGATGGATATTTGAATTAATATCAGCATTGCTTTTGACCCACAGGAAGTAGAGCCGTGGTCATGGAATGTCAGTATGGGCCAAGGAGAAAAGGTTTCCAGTTAAAAAAAATCAGTGAACAGGAAAGCAGGTCTTGTCAGCTCTACAAAGCTACTTGTCCAGCCCGGTAAGGTTTATGATTTATCTTCTTTAATTTGTTTATTTTTTAAATTATATTTTGATTTTTAAATGTAAATATATGCATTTTTATTACGTTTAAACTTCACCAGAAACTACACAGCAAATTCTTTTGTTTGACCTCTTCTCCCTTTGTGCCCTTCCCTTCCACCCTCCCTTCTTCCCTCCCTTCCTTTCTCTCAAGATGCATTTACTTATTTGGAAGATATAATGACCTTAAGAGAGGGAGGGACAGAGAAATCTTTTTTTTTTTTTGTAAGATTTATCTATTTTTATTGAAAAGGCAAATTTACAAAGAGAGAAAGATCTTCCAACAGCTTGTTCACTCCCCAAATGGCCAAAATGGCCAGAGCTGAGCTGATCTGAAGCCAAGAACCTCCTGCTGGTCTTCTATGTGGATGCAGGGTCCAAGGCTTTTGGGCTATCCTGTGCTGCTTTCCCAGGCCGTAAGTAGGGAGCTAGATAGGAAGTGGAGCAGCTGGTACCGTAACCAGAACCCAAATGATATGTTGGTTCTTGCAAGTGGCGATTTAGCCAATAAAGCCATTGTACCATCCTCTAGAGAGAGAGAGAGATCTTTAATCCGGTGGTTCACTCTTCAAATGGCTGTAATGCCTGAGAGTAGTCTCGGCTAAACTCAGGAGCCTGAATGTTCTGTCCAGGTCTTCTACATGGGTGGTAGTGCCCCAAGTACTTGGGCCATGAACCAGTGGAAGGAGATCTCTCTGTATCTCCATCTCTTTGTAGATTTACCTTTCCAATAAAAGTAAATGGATCTCTTCTAAAAAAATCCATAAATGTGATATTTTATTCAAGTTGTGACCATTGTTAATTTTGCTATGTAGAATGCAGTAAACATGTGCAATAGGTTTCAGGTAAGCCTCCAAATACTTTCTAGATGAGTTTTCTATGAAGTAAAATGCTTACAGTAAACTTCTAATTAATTTTATTTTTTGAGAGGTTATAATAAATGAAACAAATTATTTCTCTTATATAAAGGATTTACATTAAAAAGGTACAGAAGTTTCCTGAGTACCGAGTTCCTACAGACCCTAAAATTGATAGAAAAATAATCAGAATGGAGCAGGAAAAAGCCTTTAACATGCTAAAGAAGAACATGGTGGATGCTGGTGGTGTTCTGAGGTAAGATATTTAGTTTTTTTGTTTTACAAATTAATTAGAAGAATTGCCATGCAAAAGAAATTATTTCTGATTATCTCATTAGAAAATCTTTTTGTAGAATAGATGCCTTACTAGTAGTTGCCTAGGTATGAAGTGATGGGCAACTCTTTATCAGCCAAAGCTTCCAGATAATTCTGAATAAATAATTACACATACTATATGTCATATGTCATAAACCATATGAAAATTTCTTTCACCAGATGAGAAGTATGTATTTAGCATGTATTTATTACACTCATAAATATTTGCAGTTTGTTTCAGGTGCTTAGTGAGAGGAGGACATGCACCCACCCTTATCTTAACCCATCCGTGATTACTTAGGGAAGTTAGGAATAAATTCTAAGCCCTAAATAAGATTATTTTAATGCCTCAGGTTTTAAATAATAAAAAATACTTATTTTCCTGTTTTCCTTTGTGTGTCAGTCCAGGTGGAGAACTTGGTACTATATACATATGAAGATTAAATATATGGAAAATAATTTTTATATGACCTTTAGAAAAGTTTCAGGTTTGCGAAAAAAGAATGGTGTCATTAAAAATTAAATTCTCTTGTTTGGAGAATATTTTTTCTGTATTTTTAACTATGTTCCATTTTATGTAGTGTTAATCATTGTAAGAATTTTATACATCAATATCAGTCAATTAAAAGAAATCTACCAGGTCAATTCAGTTTTGTTAGCTTTTTTTTTCTCCACACTGCTGTCCAGGAGACCATTATTTAACTTTTAGTTGATTATCTTGCTATCTGGACCTGTGATAATATAGAAGCAAGATGAGGGAGATTTTCTTATCTAGCTTAGTTTTGTTGGTCTCTGAATTATATACAATGTTTGGCTGAAAGAATGATAGACTTTCACAGAAATGTAATATGAAATAGCTATTTAATGAATGAGAAAGAAACATAATTCAAAACATGATTTACCGTGTCTATTTTGAGGTAAAATTTATTTATTTTGAAGCATAAAATACTGCTTTCCAGGTTTTTTTTTTCTTCAATTTTTTCAAAAGGCAGAGTCACAGAGAGAGGGAGATGAAGGAGAGAGAGGGAAGAGAAGTAGAAGAGATCTTCATCTACTGGTTGATTCCCGAGATGGCCGCAATGGCCATGGCGGGGCCATGGCAGTGTTGGGAACTGGGAAATCCATCCGGGTCTTCCAGATGGGGAGGCAAGGGCCTAAGTACTTGAGTCATCATCTGCTGCCCTCCCAGCTGCGTGAGCAGGAAGCTGAGTCAGAAGTGGACATCAAGGCAGGCGTTGTGGTTGTTGTTGAGGGTCAAGTTGCTGCTTGTAATGCTGACATCCCTATGGGTAGTATCGGTTCATGTCCCACATCTAATCCAGCTGTTCCACTTCCAGTCAAACTCCCTGATAGTGGTGTAAAAAAGCAGTGAAGATGGTCCAAGTATTTGGGTCACTGTCACTCACATGGGAGATGTAAATGAAGCTCCTAGCTTTGGCCTGGCCCAGCCCAGGCTGTTTGGCCATGTGTGTCATGAACCAGCAGATAGAAGATCTGGCTTGCTCTCTCTGTAACTGTGACTTTCAAATGAGTAAATAAATTAGAAGAAAAAAAAAGTGGAGCAGGAGGGACAGCATTGTGGATAGTGGCTTTAACTTGTTTCACAATGACACGTGCCCCAACTGAAATGATTCTTAAACCTTGTATCATTTTACATTCTAGTGTCATAGTAAGGGTCAGGAAGATTTATAAAAAAAATTTTATTTAATTCACTATAAAATCTATCTTAAAAGAATTAAACAGAGTGCATTTTAACCTCTCTCTTTTTTTTCGAAATTTTATTTTTTATTGAAAAGTCAGATATACAGAGAGGAGGAAGATCTTCAATCTGTTGATTTACTCCCCAAGTGACCTCAATGGCTAGAGCTGCACTGATCTGAAGCTAGAAGCCCAGAGCCTCTTCCGGGCCTCCCACACAGGTGCAGGGTCCCGAGGCTTTGGGCTGTATTCGACTGCTTTTCCAGGCTACAAGCAGACAGCTGGATGGGAAGAGGGGCCATAGGATCTCAGCATGTGTAAGACTGCTAGACTACTGTGCTGGGTCCCCGCATTTTTTTCTCTTTAAAAATTGCTTTTCACTTAACAGAATTTTACTGAGTATACATTGTCTATAATGCTCCCTTTTTTTAAGTAGATGTGCACGTAGGCTACCATGCCGGGTCCTTAATCTCTCTTTAATATGGTTTCATCACATGTAATTCGTTCTTAATAGATTATCTGTTCCCCTCATGACTATTTCTCCAAATGTGATTCTTGCTTCGTCTAACAGTATTAAATAGCTTTAATATTTAGAGTTTAATGAGTTCATATTTAATTATTTTCTCTTGTCAGATGGTATGTACAGTTACCTACTCAGCAAGCTCATCAGTATCATGAATTGGAGACTCCCTGCCTCCCTCTGTCCCCTTCCACTTTTCCTGTGTCTTCTCTTGAAGAACAGGAAGCTGCAGTTAGAGATGAGAACTGCACATTACCCTCACGTCTGCACCCGCAAGTAGCACATAAAATTCAAGAATTAGTGTCACAGGGAATAGAACAAGTATATGCAGTAAGGAAACAACTAAGGTACAATAGGAGCTAAGTATACCTCTGTGTTTTTCATTTTTGTTTAAGAAAAATGCTTAGCATTATAAATATTTTCCAGGATATATGCTATCAAAGTAAATAAGGAATATGGCTTGGTTACTTATTAATGTAATCTTTTTTATGGACTGATCACTTTCCAAAATAGTATTTTACAAATCATGGTATAATTTGAGTTATTATTGCCTGTTTGAGATTTGAATATTTGCGATTCCCCATTTCAGATTAAGCAAACTGGTCTATTTCAAAATGATGTGTGAATTGAATTACATAATAAAATCTTTGATAGAATCAAAGATTTAAAAATCTGAGCCAATATCTTTGTCTCAAATTTTTTGAAATGTGATTTAAGTTTTATTACTACAAAAGAATTTAGATAGCTTTTTGACTACTGAAATTTTGTTTATAGCACTCCTTTTGTTGATACTTAGAATAATAAAAATTATTACTGTTAGGTATCTTCTGTGGGTGTGTCAGGTATTTTTCTAAGCTCTTTACGTGAGTATTCTTATTTTATATTACCACAACTCTTATCAAGTTGGTATATTTATCCCAAATAAGGTTGATATGCGTATTTCATTCTAAATATGAGAATATGGGGACTCAAAACAACTGAATAATTAACTAAAAGGAAGAGATAAGGCAAGCATTTAATGCAGCACTTAAAACATGCCTTGCTAACTTGGCAGGTGGAGACCTCACTTACTGTACCACCACATTGGACCCCACAGTAAACATTAAAAAGCATTATTATAATTAAATGGAAAATAATAGTTTCTTTAAATTAAGTTCACAGAAATACCAATGCTCGCTCTCATATAAGAAGGTAATTAACCAATGAAAATATTTTCTTTCTTTAATCTGTGTAAATTCTATGATTTAGTGCATGGAAAAAATTAAAAATGAGAAAGTATAAATTGCTTAAAGCTATAAATAAAATTCTATCGAAGTTTATGCTGACAGAGAATCTGTCTTTTCATCTACAAGCTTATTGCCAGATGGCTTATGTTTTTATTCTGTTTTATTTTCTGTACAGAAAATTTGTGGAGAGGGAGCTGTTCAAACCTGATGAAATACCTGAAAGACACAATTTATCTTTTTTTCCAACTGTAAATGATATAAAAAATCACATCCATGAAGTACAGAAATCTTTGGGAAATGGAGATATGGTATTTAATTCAGAAATCATTCCAGCAACGGTATGATTTTAACCACAGTTCTTTGTTTCATTACATACTCTCCCTCAGTTTCTATTAATACTCGCCCTAATCAAGATGACCACTGTTAGGATATCTGAACAATTGTGATGTAAGACAAAACAGTGGCATGTTCTCTTAAAATGTAAACACTAAATTCTCAGGTGAGGATATGACTGAATATTTTTATCACTTCCCAAGAACAAAATTTCAAAATTCTACTATAATATTGTAGTCATCATACTTTTAAAGATTTATTTATTTTTCTTGGAAAGTCAGATATACAGAGAAGAAGATCTTCCATCTGTTGAGCCACTCCTTAAGTGGCTGCACCAGCTACAGTTGCACCAATCCGAAGCCAAGAACCTGGAGACTCTTTGGAGTCTCCCATATGGGTGCAGGGTCCCAAGGCTTTGTGCTTTCCCAGGCCACAAGCAAGGAGCTGGATGGGAAGTGATGCTGCTGGGATTGGAATTGGTGCCCATACAGGATCCCAGCATGTACAAGGCAAGGACTTTAACCACTAGGCGACCATGCCAAACCCTGAAGCACTCATTTTGATAGTCAACTTTTTTTTTAGTTTTTTTTTTTAGTAAGTCAAATATACAGAGAGGAGGAGAGACAGAAAGATCTTCCATCTGATGATTCACTCCCCATGTGGCTGCTAGAGCTGCACTGATTGGAAGCCTGGAGCCAGGAACCCAGAGCCTCTTCCAGGCGCAGGGTCCCAAGGCTTTGGGCCATCCTCAACTGCTTTCCCAGGCCACAAGCAGGGAGATGGATGGGAAGCAGGTAGGGATTAGAACCAGCACCTATATGGGATCCTGGCACTTGCAAGATGAGGACTTTAGGCACTAGGCAAATGTGCTGGGCCCCCACATTTTTCTCTTTAAAAACAGCTTTTCACTAAAGAGAAATTTGCTGAGTATATATTGTCTATAATGCTCTCTTTCTTTTTTTAAGTAGATGTGCATGTTAGAATAGTTCAAGCCACACAATGAAATGATTTTGGTTCTATATGTGATAAATGAATACATTGAGACTATAATTTCCATCTGAATTTTATTCACTGTATGAAAATTTTTCCTACTCTGAAGAAATAAACTGAAATAGTAATAATAATAACCTGAAAACTACTAATCGTAATACACACTATGATTATGGCATTAAAATTCATGTGCTAATATCTGTTGTGTTTGTTTTCCTTCTACTGTCCAACTTAAATAACAGAATGGATTTGCATTTCTTTTTTTTAAAGTTGTAACTGACATTTCTTGCTATCCAAAACATGTAATTAGTGCATAGCCAAAACTTCAGGAACTAACTAAAGCAGATGTGGTTAGCAATTGTCCTTTCCAACTATATTTATTATCCAGATTCTTGTCTCTGACCTTGGAAAGCTAATGTATTTAGATACTTGTGCTTTCAGAATATCAACAAGTGAACAGAGGAACTACAAGACAAAGTGTAATATAACTGAATAATTGACAGTTGTGGTTTTTTCAGCAGAGCTGCTTTGCTTGTGCTGAAGTCAGTGTTGTCATTTCAGCTTCAGTGGACCACAGACAGTGGGAATATTCTCCGAGAGACCGTGACCGTCACCTTGGCAGAAGGTGAGTTTGTCTTGAACACTGTAAAGTGTAGAATCATACTGTGTTAACACTGGAAGTAACTTAAGATAGTAAACCATCTAGCCAAAATTTGTAGATGTGACCTACAGAAACTAAGAGCAACTGTGTGCATCTAAGTACTTTCAGATACTTAAATTCCTTCCTTTATTGCCTATTAAAACTGGAAAGAACTTAACATATTAAATCATCTAGCTAATCTTTCTAGATGTGCTCTCAAAGAAGCTAAGACCAGCTATATTGATAAAAGTATTTCCAGATATTTAAATTTCTTCCCTTATTACAGTTTTAAGCTTACTTTTGACTGAAACTTTGTGGTTACCAGTACGTTATACTGGAAGGCTGCCTAATTCCAATAGAAATAATCCCAAGATAATGTGATCTGAGGACTACTATTTTGTGTGAATTACTTTCTCTCACAGGTTCTTATTCCCATGGTCTCTCAATTTGCCAAACATGTGTCCTCTGCCCTCTAAATGTCTGTTCTCTTTTTTCATGACAAATCCCTCTTATTCACACAGCAGCGTGAGATTGTAAGTGCTCTCTTAACACTATCTTTTAAATACAGTTAACAGGACCCGGCGTGGTGCCACAAGTGGTTAAAGGTCCTTGCCTTGCACGCCCGGGATCCCATATGGGCGCCGGTTCTAATCCCGGCAGCCCCGCTTCCCTTCCAGCTCCCTGCCTGTGGCCTGGGAAAGCAGAGGACGGCCCAAAGCTTTGGGACCCTGCACCCGCGTGGGAGACCCGGAAGAGGCTCCTGGCTTCGGATCGGCATAGTATCAGCCCGTGCGGACGGAAGATCTTCCTCTCTGTCTCTCCTCTCTGTATATCTGCCTTTCCAATGAAAAAATAACAAAATAAATCTTTAAAAAAAAAATAAATACAGTTAACAATTGAATCTTTTTTTTTTTAACCTCTAAATTTGGCTGGTGCCTTTCTTTAAAAAAGGATTTTGTGGGCCCAGCACAATAGAGTAGCCTAGCGGTTGAAGTCCTTGCCTTGAACGTGCCGGGATCCCATAGGAGCACCAGTTCTAATCCCACTGCCCCGCTTCCCATCCAGCTCCCTGCTTGTGGCCTGGAAATGCTGTCAAGAGTGGCCCAAAGCTTTGGGACCCTGCACTTGTGTGGGAAACCTGGAGGAAGCTCCTAGCTCCTAGCTTCAGATTGGCTCCGTTCCAGCCTTTGTAGCTGCTTAGGGAGGGAACCATTAGACAGAAGATCTGCCTCTCTGTCTCTCCTCCTGTCTGTATATCTGACTTACCAATAAAATAAATCTTTAAAAAATTGACTTTGTATCTTTCATTATGATTTGAGTTCTTCAGAGTCAAAGATTATGTTTTATTTAAAAGAGCCTATCTAGTAGCTCAGCACAGTGCCTGCTAAAGTTAACACCTAAATAAATGCCTTAGACCCATTAATAAAAAGCTAATAACCACAGTGGCCAACATGGAGCTAGGCTGAAGCCAAGAGCCAAGAGCTTCATTCAGGTCTTACTTCCAGGTGACAAGGACCTGGACGGTTGGGCCATCTTCAGTTGTCTTCCCAGGCCATAAACAGGGGAGTGGAACAGCTGGGACATGAAACAGTGCTGTTACAAGGTGTCAGCATCACAGGTAGCAGCTGAGCACACTGTACACAATGCTGGCCCCTGAATCAATGTGGTTTTTTTTTTTTAAGATTTATTTATTTTTATTGGAAAGTCAGATATTCAGGGAGGAGGAGAGACAGAGATCTTGTATCCATTGATTCACTCCCCAAGCAGCCACAACTGTGCCGATCTGAAGCCCAGACCTAGGAGCTGCTTCTGGGTCGCTTATGCGTGTGTAGGGTCCCAAGGCTTTGGGCCGTCCCAGGCCACAAGCAGGGAGCTGGATGAGAAGTGGGGTTGCCGGGACATGAATCGGTACCCATGTGTGATCCTGGCAAGTGCAAGGCGAGGACTTCAGCCGCTAGGCTACCATGCTGGACTGAATCTATGTATTGTTCAAGTTTCTTTAGAGCTTTTGAAAATCCACAGGTTTTGTAAATAGAGGGCTAAGTGACTTTTTAAAAATGACTTCTTGAAATCTTTTACGTATCTTTCATAATACTGGATCTTCCAGTTTGGGTAGAGTTATAATTACATTTTTAGTCTAAGAAACCATAAAATTTGAATTAATCATTATATTTTATGTAATTTAGGAAATTCATCAGGAGAATCAGTTACTTCAAAAGTGGAGACAAATCAGACAGGGAGTTCTTTGTCTCCAGATCCAACCCGCTTGCTTGCCTCACTTTCCTCATTTCAGCCCAAATTATTTACACAACTACAGGTAAGTATATAGTAAAAAGTGGAACTTCAGGTACCACTTCTTCAGTTCCTTTTCTACTCCTAGGGACTTTAGGAATTATTATAGTACTGTAACAATGACCAGATACATTGTGTTGTTAATTCCCTGACTTTTTTGTGTCTTGATTTAAAGTAATTTAAGCAGTATGTTTTGAAAAAGTTTGAAATTGACTGTGATTGCAGAAAAGCATAATTGCATTACTTTTCCCTTGGTTCTTGTTTCTGTCATCATTTAATATTTTTGGTTGCTATATTCTTGTTTGTTCCTTTTTCTTTGTCAAAAATGATATATCCCATGAAAATGTCATGCATAGTGAATTCGCACCTTTTGACATAATTCTCTCTGATCGAAAGGGATTACAGTTACAATCGAGTGTCACCACTCCTGACACGTCCCCAGCTCTGGTCCCAGAAAATGACCATCCATCCTGCAGTCCCTCCAGACTGCTGGGCTCCATAGGAAGTGCTGTAATGAGTCATAATTCTCTCCTGCTTGGCCAAAGTCTCAGTCTTCAAACAGAACAATGCCTAACCCCAGATGACAGCACTGCCTCTGCCACTGATAACCTCCCAGAACCAGCTCAAAATCTACTTGAAGTCCATCAGCTGGCAGTCGTTGGAGATGCTGAAGGTACCGGGAATCTGGAAGGAAGTGTTCATCAAATTCTCTTGGGAGACGTACAGACCCTTCCGATACGTATTATGGACAACTGTAAGTTCAAACAACCTGATGTTATTTTTTCTTTTTGCACATCTGTTTTTTTGTTTGGTTTGGTTTTTGCCTTCATCAGCTGTCACCACTATCTACTCTATTATGTTGTTGGAAAAAACCTTTATAATTTCTTCCTTATCTTCTTATTTTTGATTATTTAGTCGCTTTAAAGTTTCTCCGTTCCATAATTAACTAATTTTCCATGGAGGATCTCTGACACCAGAAAAGTCATTTAGGAATGCATGAAGAAAACTTTATAGAAGTAAATAAAATAAGGAGAAATATTTTAATGTTTAGTTTATCATGGGAAATTTACTTATGCATATATAGAAAGTGGGCAAAATATAAAGGACTAAAGGAAGATTTTTTTTTATTGGCAAATCTTATTTATAGCAAGAAAAGACAGAGAGAAAAATCTTCCATCCATTGGTTAACTCCGCAAGCGGCTGCAACAGCCAGAGCTGAGCCGATCTGAAGCCAGGAGCCAGGAGCTTCCTCCAGGTCTCCCATGTGAATGCAGGGTCCCAAGGCTTTGGGCCGTCCTCTGTTGCCTTCCCAGGCCACAAGCAGGGAGCTGGAAGGAAAGTAGAGCAGCTGGTACAGGAACTGTCACGCATATGGGATCCCAGCACATGCAAGGCAAGGATCGAGCCACTAGGTTACTGTGCCAGGCCCCAATGGAAGATTTTGAGTTATAAACTTAATTTTTTTCTCTGGAAGTTGAAAGGGAACTGCTACAACTTGGACACTTGGTTTTATTAAATGATCTTACTTTCTTCATTGCTTACCCAGTCAGTAGAGTAGTAAACTGTTGAATCCTGTTTGATCTAGCTGTATCACACAAACTGTTCTGGATTAGGCACTTGTGTAGGGAAAGGTTTACAGTTTCATTTGAAGAATAAAACTCCTCCCAGAAGTTTTTCTTAGAATATGTGTTTCATTCCATCTGAATCATAATTCTTCTAACTATTGAAAACTGTAATTTGGCTTCTCTCAGAAAGACCATTGTCTTTTAAATTTGGAAAAACTGCTTTTAAGAAAGTGTTTCAGAGTTCTGTGGCAATTGTAAGTATGCCACACTTTAGTATCCAGAGAAAAAGGGAAATATTTGTTGATCAATGCTTACAATTCTGTGAAACAAAAAGTGGTTTCTCCATTCTATAGATGAGGGGACCAAGACGCCAGGAAATTTTCACTGCCTGAAATTCACATCTGGTAAATGACAGAGCCAGATCTGTATGGCTTCCAAAGCTTTTTTCTAATATCCTTCCTCCCTCTGTGTTATGCCATGATATTTCTGGAAATTCTAATCTAGTTTGCTTTAAGGGAGTCCCTTTTTGGATCCAGATTTGGGTAATTTCATCAAATTAGGTCTTACTGTGAGGAATTTTTTCGCCTGGGTGAGTTTGCAGGGTCACTTGGGTCATTCCTGTATTTCTTTGTCTCGGGCTAAATCTTGATGCACTTGTATGTGAGAATCTTCAGGTGGGTTCAAGAAATTCTCTGGGCAGGTAACAGTGCTGTTATCCTTTATTTTTTCATTACTCCTGAAAAACTAGTATTCCTGAGAAAAAGAAGTGAAGATTTGATTTTAGACATCCCATTTCACAATAGTGCTTCTGACATTTCACGCGTATATTCATCTGATATAAATGTTTTGAAATCAGGATGATTTTTTAAATATTTTCAGTAAGTAAACACATGGCTCACTAAGCTGAGACCTATCATTTAAGATACAACATACCGGGCCCAGCACAATAGTGGTTAAAGTCCTCGCCTTGAACGTGCCAGAATCCCATATGGTCACCAGTTCTGATCCTGGCCGACCTGCTTCCCATCCAGCTTCCTGCCTGTGGCCTGGGAAAGCAGTCGAGGACAGCCCAAAGCTTTGGGACTCTGCACTGGCATGGAAGACCCTGAAGAAGCTCCTGGTTCCTGACTTTGGATTGGCTCAGCTCCAGCCATTGCGGCCTCTTGGGGAGTGAACCATTGGACAGAAGATCTTCCTCTCTGTCTCTCCTCCTCTCTGTATATCTGACTTTCCAAATAAAAATAAATAAATCTTAAAAGAAAAGGTGCAACATACTGCTTTCCAAAGTTCTTAGGTACTTCAGGGAGGAGAGTTGTCCCTTTATTATATGACCACATATGGATTAATGTAACTATGATTGAGTATGTGTCTCCTGTTTGTAAAATAAATGATTTTCAGATGACAGGAAGGTTCCTTTTATTGACATATTTGAAGCATGATTTAATCTAAATGTGAGCTGTTTCTCATGATTTCATCAAATGATAGCCGTGATTGTTTTTCTAAGAATATCTGTAGAAAACAACATTATAATGTTCTTGTTGTCTTTTTTCATTACTAGAACACTGAAGTAATTTAATAATGACTATTAAGCTGCCAAGGACACTTTATGTATACTAACTGCTTTTCCTCAATTGCAGCTTCATTTTTCTGAATTATGTTTTTGTTTTGCTTTCAGATTCATACAATTAATAAAAATCCCATTGTCATAAGACAGTGTACTAACCTTTAGGATTTTCCTTTTGTTTTTCTTTTTAAAGTTGAAGAAAATACAGTCAGTACTGTTTCTGTGAGCCAAGTAAAGCAAGAACCCAAAGAGCAAACATTGTCTGTGGAAACAGAAAAGCAAATTGGACTGTAAGAAATTAGCTGCTATATAATTATTGAAGCTTTTCAGAATCTACAACTCTGGTGGCTTCTGATGTCCTATAAAAGAAGGTGAATGTTGTCAAGGCCCAGCACCGTGGTAACTGGACTGAGGACTGGTTTGATGAGCAGCTTTGATTTTAAACTGATGTATTTATTGTCAATTCCATATTTTTACCTTCCTTACAAGATATTTTACTCTTTTTATTTTGTACAACTCTCATGTTTTTTGATGATAAGTAAGGTTAGTAGTTCAAAAGATCATGTAATTTGAATACAGTATGAACTGGTATAGCTAACCTAATTCATTCCTGGAAAGCAGAAGACAAAGAACAGCAAAACTGAATGAGTGAATGAGTGAGTGTATGTGTGAATTATTGTAAGTCCTGAAAGAGCTTACCGTCTCTGTAAAGTATGAAGGAAATTTTAATTGGTAGACAGGTGAAAATATTTGTGGTCTGTCTCATTTAGGAAGATAAAGCAGTAGCTTTCATATCACAACATTAAGTCCCACAACAAATGAGGAAACCCCGTAGTTTCATTTTGGCCTCTTCCCTTCTAATTTTTATACTTCCAACTACCATGGAGAATTAACAGTCATCTAATAGAAATTTAAGGTGTCTTGGTTAGTAGTGAGAAGTTTAGTGTAAGTTAATCAGTTAAGCACTAGAAATCAGTATGTATCATGGAGTTAAACAGTATTGGAGGTGAAACAGTTTAGGAATAGGGAAATTGAGAGAATTTTGAAATAATAACAGAATTCCCTAATGTTTACAGATAATTTGGGCAACTATTTGATTATAGCAGAGGATTATTTTTTGTATTGAAGATTTAGCTCCAGTTAGGAAAGAATTTGAGTTGTATTTACATTTTTCTGTTCCAGAATTCTTACTGAATTGATAATATTAGGATTTATAGTATTTAAGTATTTATAATTCAAAATTCAGTTCATATTTAAAACTTTATGTGATCTAATATGATGTATTTGCTTGTTAAATAAGTATTTCACATACAAATAAGCATATTCATTATAAGCTTTTGTTTTCTGGAAGATTAGTAAACAAGAAATATCAAATAGATTTGTCCAGAAACCAACCTAAAGGTTTTTGTTTTCCCCAAGACCATATGTGAGTATGTTTTCAATTTTACTTATTAAACAACATTTCAAATAGTCCTGGAAATCAAGAAAGATTCCAAATAGCTATTCGAAGCTTATGTAATACAATGTAAAATTTAATCGTAATACCTAACATGTATATGAGTCACTTTTGTCTTTTTAAAATCCAGTTTTTCATTTCTTAAATTCTCTTTAATTGTTTTAGGTACAAACATGTATCTAAATATAAGGCACTGCTATATTAGAAATAGGTGGATTTCTACCTTGCTCTTTAGTTTATATCCTATTTATCATATAAATTATTTATATCCTATTTAATGTAAAGTGAATAGTTGTGTTATTTTTAATAAGAATTGCTTTTATTTTCCTAAGAAGTAGAAATATTTGATGTAAGCATTTATAGGGACAAGCTGCTAAATTTGATTGTGTTACTCTGAGTTTAACACAATATTTAGTTACCTCAATCTTAGATTTTACTTATTCTGATTTCTCAAAATGAATACATCCAAATTAATTTATAGAATAGTGTTGCAATATAGACAATATTCTTTTCATTTTTTTCCTGCTTTTTATTGAAACTTTTTTGAAAATTTAATAGATCTTTACCTCTCAATAATGTTAATGGTCTGTTATTATGTTTTATATATGTTACCAACTGAACTATATTCTTTTGGAAACATTCCTTTTGTTTGTTTTGTTTTTTGATGTTGATTTGCTAAGGAGAAATGCTTAATACTTTGATTTTAGTAGGTTACCTGTGAGAATGAGGGCTGGCAGAAGATTCTGACTTTAGTACTCAATCAAGAACAAAATATACTCAGAAGATATTTCTCTCACTGCATTATAGTGAATGTCTCTTCTGCTAGCGGTTTTTACTCATGAGGGTAGACAGTTACAGCACCATCTTTCCTGCAAGAAAGCAGAAACAATCACCTAAAGACCAAGAGCATGAAGGAAAATTTAAATTCCTAATGAGCTATTCTTGGAGCTATCAGTGTTCCATATTAAGTATTCAGATGAGTAGCATGTTCAAAATGGTTTCTAAATGAGTTTTTAAAAATCCATTTGTCCTCTAAATGCGTGTTTAGTCACAACTTGTAAGTACTGTGTTTAAAGGTGCTTGGCATCACTTTTCCAGAGCTATGTTTACATATTTAAAATGTTTAATCATTTTCTAAGTGCACAGGCTGTGCAATACGAGTGCATAAAGTTTTCACTTACTATGTCTGGCATTCTCCTAACAGCTCTACAGCAAAAGTTGACCTTTGTTCTTTTGTATAATCTATTACAAGGTGTAGTATCTCTAGTAATGAGTTGTGCATTCAAAATAAGCGCTTAGAAATTGGTAATTACAGCTCAGCTTACTTCCTTATTGTAGTTTTCCTGTTTCAGATTTTGCTAGTGAATTTTACATATACCACAGTCACTTAAAATTATAGATAAATATAGCCACAGTGGACATTCCTCTCCATAGCAGTATGTGAATAGTTAATATAATTAAAAGAAAAAGCTTTTGTATTTCATGCAAGTTCTCCTAAAAGTCACAAAAGTTAGAGAAAACACAGGGTTGGGGATCTGGTCCTATGAGAGTTTCTTATGTTCAGGTCCACCAACTTGTGTTTTGTCTGCTTTATACCATGTCAAAATATGTGCTCAATCATGTGGATACAAGAAATACATTATTTAATTCAGACTAAGTTTAAAAATTGATAAAAACAAAAGTATGTGTGTATATATTATAACTATGTATAGTGTCCTTGTTATAATGTAATTTTTTTCATTAAAAATATCTTGTGGTTTTTTTCTAAGAATTGTTATTTTTGTGGGTTTTTTTTTTTATAGTAAAAAACACATATGTACTTTTCCAGTTCTAATATTAGTTTTCCTCATCTTGAATGGTGAATGAATACTACTTGAAAATTTGGAGTAGAGATTTATGTTCAATTTAGAACCTGGAAGTTTTTAAGCATAACTACTTCAGTCACTTATATTAGCATTACACTTAATAGTCTGCATTTGATGCTATACTCCTCAGCCAAGTACTAACATTGTACTTCCAGCGGCTTTTGGTTTGGGGGGCTTTTTTTACACTTATTTTAAAGCTAGAAAGAGAAGGATTAACAACAACAACAAAACTCAAATCTGTGGAGAGAGAGAGAGAGCTGCCATTGCTGGTTCATTTTCAAAATGCCTACAGCATTCCCAATTAGGGCCGAAAATCTAGAGCCAGGAACTCTGTTGTGCTCTTCCATATAGATGGGAACCAGCCTTGTCCTCTGCCTGGATTTGCATTAGTTGAAACCTGGAATCGGGAGCAGAGCCCAGTTTTGACCCCTGGCACTCTGATATAGGAAGCCAAATGCCTGCCCCAACATGAATATTTTAAAATGATAAATGAAGGGCCTGGCGCCGTGGCCTAGCTGCTAAAGTCCTCGCCTTGAACGTACTGGGATCCCATATGGGTGCCGGTTCTAGTCATGTAGTGAGAATCTTTTTTGGTCTGGCCAATGTGGCACAGCATAGTAATTTTTTTTACTCATCTATGTCATAGAATGTATGAATTAATAGCTAATTTTACTGCTGAGCAGCATTACATTATATGAACATGCTATAATTTGTTTTTCACTCATGTTATGCTGGACATTTGGGTTGTTTATAGTTCCAGTCTCCTACAGATAACATGCTCTAAGCATATGTATACAAGTCTCCTGATTTCAGATTGGCTCAGCACTGGCCATTGCGGTCACTTGGGGAGTGAACTATTGGATGGAGGATCATCCTTTCTGCCTCTCTTCCTCTCTGTATATCTGCCTTTCCACTAAAAATAAAGCTTTATAAAAAATTAGAATAAAGGGGATGTCTTGAAATTTAATTTTCTGTAAAATTGTAAAAATATTTTTCACACTTTTCTAGATTGATGTATATGTGTATTTATCAGATAAAACTACATATATCAGCATTAACTACTTTATATAACACATTTCTGCTACTTATGCATGCATTTTAAACGTACTTCTGTACCTTATTTTTTATATTTAGCTTCCTTTTAGATACTCTTGTATTTGATTACTGCACTGTTATAGCAGTAGTTGTAATAAAATCTTACAAAGTTGTTGTAGGATTTATGGAAGAATACACAGTATATACTATATTTCATATGCACTTTTATATTTTTCCAATAAGATACGTAGAATTTATTATTCATTGTACTTCAAATTTTATTTAGATGCTGCTTAACTGTTGTTCACAAAATTTCTATGATCAGGACAAGCATAAATATTTCCTATTTTATAGTTGAAGACATTCAGTGGTAGGGAATGTGTTTATGTTACATTTAGTAGTTTGGAGTTGGAATTATGTTTTCGTAATTGCTTAGAGATCATTTTTGAGACTTAACTGAGTAATTTTTATATTGGAGATTATCTGAACCACAACCATTAGTATAAAAATATGTTTATTTGGGGCTGGTGCTATGGTGCCAGTGAGAGTAAAGCCACCTCCTGAGATGCCAGCATCCCATATAAGCACTGATTTAAGCCTTCAAAAAAAAAAAGATTGATTTATTTTTATTGGAAGGGCAGATTTACAGAGAGAAGGAGACACAGAGAAAGATTTTCCATACACTGGGTCACTCCCCGATTAGCTGCAATGGCTGAGGCTGAGTCAATCCGATACTAGGAGACAAGAGTTTCTTCCAGATCTCCTTGTGGGTACAGGATCCCAAGGGTTTGGGTCGTCCTCTACTGCCTTCCCAGGCTACCAACCAGAAGCTGAATGGGAAGTGAAGTAGCCAGGATATAAACTGGTACCCATATGTGATTCCAGTGCAAGCTAACAGGCCAGCCCCTCAAGCTCTTGTTTTAATGACTTATTTTTTATTAGGAAAGCAGATCATATTTATGGAGAGAAGGAGAAACAGAGAGAGATCTTCCATTCGCTGGCTCACACCCCACGTGGCTGCAATGGCCAGAGCTGAGCTCAACCAAAGACAGGAGTCAAGGTCTTCCATGCTGGTGAAGGGTCCTAAGGCCTTGGCCCGTCCTCAACTGCTTTCCCAGGCTACAAGCCGGGAGCTGGAAGGGAAGCAGAGATACCGGGACAGGAACCAGTGCCTTTATGGGATACTGGCACTAATTAAGTGAGGATTTAGCCATTACTTTACTTTCTTTCTTTTTTTTTTAAGCATTAAAAATTTTTTTAAAAACCCTACACTTTTGGGCCCAGTGGCGTGGCTTGGTGGCTGGGGTCCTCGCCTTGAATGTGCTGGGATCCCATATGGGCACCTGTTCTAATCCTGGTGGACCCACTTCCCATCCAGCTCCCTGCTTGTGGCCTGGGAGAGCAGTCGAAGACAGCCCAATGCTTTGAGATCCTGCACCTGTGTGGGAGACCTGGAGGAGTTTCCTGGCTCCTGGCTTCGGATTGGCACAGCACCGGCTGTTGCACTCACTTGGGGAGCGCATTATCGGATGGAAGATCTTCCTCTCTGTTTCTCCTCCTCTCTGTGTATCTGGCTTTGCAACAAAAATAAATAAATCTTAAAAACATAAATAAATAAACGCTACACTTCTGATCCAGCTGTCTGTTAATGTGCCTGGGAAAACAACAGAAGATGACCCAACTCCTTCTGCTGTTGCACCCACAAGGGAGACTCAGCGAATGCTGCTGGCTTCTATTTCATACCTGCCCAGTTCCTATCATTTTGGCCATTTGAGCAGTTAGCCAGTGGACAGAAGATCTTGTTTGAGTGGTAGAAAGACAAGAAAATTCATCATCTGCCAATATTACTCCCTAGATACCAGCCATAGACAGGAATGTACGAGGCTGGAGCCAAGAGCCTGGACCTGCTTCTCAGTCCTAAGTGTTCAGGTCATCTGCTGCCTTGTCTGACACATTAGGAGGAAGCTGGATAGGAAGCAGAGCATTTGACTGGAGCCAGGTACACTAACATGGGATGTAGGTTTTGCAGGCTACTTCTTAACCCACTTCACTACAATATCCATTCCTAAAGGTTTTTTTTTTTTTAAACTTACTATAGCTTTACAGTAATTCTGCTTACAATGAAGAACAAAAAGCATTTATTTTAGAAAAAATTGGCAGAACTGCGCTGACTCACGTGTTATGAACAGGAATTATATGCACCTGTGAAATATTGCATGGACTTTGCTCATAGATATAAAATTAAATACACAGTGAATGAGGATATATTTAATCATTTACTTTCCAGTAATGTCCGTGGAGCCTGGAATACAGAGCTTCCTGTTTCCGAAAAGTCATTGTAACAAAATCACCCAGTGTTTCCAGCATGTTGCTTTTTTTTGCCACATGGCTGTCCTCCCTCCAACTCTATAACACTTGTACTAGTAAAAGTCCTGGGCAACGAGAATGTCCTTCACTTAGTGTACATTCATTTCACTTAGTTTTTAAAAATATCAAATTACAATTAATGGAGTGATAGGTATTTTATGTTTACCAGTCCTTACACCTTTCTCAATATTATTATCCCAATTGAGTAGAAATGAAAACAAAATCAGAAAGATGAAATACCTTGCTCATTGTCATGTGTTTAGAAAACCAAGACCTAGAGATGAACCCAAAATTTTTTTATTCCTAAGTGTTTGTTACAGTTATATTTAACTCTACATTAACAATACAGAGCTATTAATATTCACCATAATAATGGGTATACTTTCTGCCAATCTAGAAAATGAAGATAAAGAACTGGCATTTGTGTTATATTAATTTTGGAACTAAGAGATTCTCTAAAAAGTAGCATCAGTAATTTTATTTTCAACCTGCATTCATCTTTGAGATGCCTTGGGACAAAAGAATCTAAAGTTGTTTTAAAAAATGTAATAAACCCAGGGACAATCCCTAAGGAAGTTTAGCTCTGAAGTAGTCTCTTAGACTTTTTATCAGATATTACCAAATCAGATATTTAATTTCTAAGATTAAGCATTATATCCTATAGTTCATGCATATTTGGAATTCTTTTTAATATCTTTTAAGATTTATTTATTTTTGTTGCAAAGCCAGATACACAGAGAGGAGGAGAAACAGAGAGGAAGATCTTCCATCCGATAATGCGCTCCCCAAGTGAGCGCAACAGCCGGTGCTGCGCCAATCCAAAGCCAGGAGCCAGGAAACTCCTCCAGGTCTCCCACACAGGTGCAGGATCTCAAAGCATTGGGCTGTCTTCGACTGCTCTCCCAGGCCACAAGCAGGGAGCTGGATGGGAAGTGGGTCCACCAGGATTAGAACAGGTGCCCACATGGGATCCCAGCATATTCAAGGCAAGGTCTTTAGATGCTAGGCTACTGCACCAGGCCTGCATATTTAGAACTCTTTAAACTGTAGATCTGTGTGGGTTACTAAAGGCTTACATTTTGAAAATGAATTTTGTCACACTTTTACTGCATCTATTGAGATGATGGTTACTTGCTGTAATTTGAGTGAGGTTGTATTCCCTTTTAAACTCTTATTGAAATTTGATTGCCCTTGGGGCAATGTTAGAGGTAAGAGACGGGTCTCTTATAAAGGCTGCTAAGAAGGATTAATACCTTGCTCCTAGGACTGGCTTCACTGGCTCAGTTACTGGAACAACATGTACTTGTAAAGTGAGATTGCCCTCTCTTGTGTCTTTCACACTTATCTGTTTCCTCTTTACTTTTCCACCGTGAGTTGAAGCAGTGCGTGACCACCCAATCTTGAACTTCCCAGTCTCAGAACCGTGATGTCTTTTGTTTATGAATTACCCAGTCTCAGGTGTTGTATAATAGCAACAGAAATCAGAACTAAAGAG